TGTGGTGGTGGGTTTTGGGTTATTAAACCCCGCCCTCTCCCCGCCTGGTGTGTGGTGTGGTGCGGTGTGGTGGTGGGTTCTGGGTTTCAGGTTTACTCCTTAACCCCCTTCCCCCCTCCCTGTGGTGTGGTGGTGTGTGTTGGGTTTGGGGTTTACACGCACCCCCCGTGTGGTGTGGGGGTTGGGTTGTTTAGGGTTTAGGTGTACAGATATGAAAGTCTAGGGTTGAGGGTCAGCAGCTGGGCGCGGTGCAGACCGAAACCATAGCCCATCCAGGTGAGTGTCGCAACTTTGGACACTCCACGAAGATGATTCAAAAGTCACAACATTCACGAGGATCCCGGGTTCGGGGGGGCCATCCCTGTTGGCACTTTTGAGACAAAAGTAACGACCTTCAAGAGGATTTCGGGTGTATACCATGGAGGAAAATACCATGCGGTGGTGCGGTGGGGGGGGGGGCTGGGGGTACCGGCATGCCACACACACATATATATATATATAATATATATATATATATTTATTATATGCGTTTTTCTATGTCGGTATAATATGTTTCATCATGAGTACACATTCAACTCGTACACATGTGCATACTTAACTTGTGCGTATGTATGTATGTATGTATGTATGTATGTATGTAAGTACGTAAGTACGTAAGTATGTAAGTATGTATGTAAGTATGTAAGTATGTATGTATGCGCGCACGCACAGCACGCACAACTCTTAACGTTGACACTTTTCCTGAGCCGAAGCGTGTCGTAGAGCAAGTTCAGGTCGGCAAATTTGTCTTGTTGATTTCTTACAGATGTGGGCATTCAGGATTTGTCATTCGCGACCTCCAGGCAAAACTGGCCGCAAGGCAGGAGCCGTCAAGAGTCAGAATGCCTTCGTGAGCTTCGCCTTCTCAAGTCAAGGCCAAAAGAGACCTCTGGATCACAGCTTCGGCCACCTGGCTCGAACATGCACTTGATTCCGCTTGGCAAAGAGTTCGGAGAAGGCGGAAGTTACGGCGGAAAGCAAGGCCAGGGGCCGCAAAAGTGGTTCCCGGGACTGCACTGTGCCGGCCCACAAGGTCACGAGACCAGAAATTCCAAGCTCAGGTCGCGAACGACCCAACCCGTGAGACGTGCAGGGCACCCGCAATGCACACAGAGGGAGGACTGCATTGGTCATGTGAAAAGTGCGCTGGCCTGAGTCTCGTGAGCAAAATGCCTTGCATTTCCGCAGAGAAGCTGGTCCAAATATGCCAAGGTGTTGTTTCAGCACATTGCCTCGAACTAAGCATGGCCGATATTCTCTGCTTCCTTCCAGAAGCACCAGTGGGATTTTCTATGTTTCGTGCAATCCGACACTCAAGGCAGACAACCTTCCGGGTGATCTGTACTGCTTGGACCCTGGCATGTTCATAGATTCATAGCTGATGCATGGCATCAACGGCGTAACGATTCACGGCAGAGGGAGGTCAGTCATGGCGGCATCACGTGCGGACGTTTCGTGTGCAGGCTCCCATTGCTGGGCCGTCTTTGCAGATGCTGACAACTCTCTGAATGCCTTCGCCTGTGTTTGTGCACACGGTCTTGGCTCGACAATGCTCTCTTTGTGTTCCCATGCCTGCAGACTGGTGTGCTTGCGGGCTGCTCTGCTTGCTGAGGCGATACCTTATGAAGGGTACTGATTTATCGCTGAAGCGGTGCTTGCTGCAGCAGAGGGCCAGTATATACCTTGTTAATGCACCTGCGATGCCATCCGCAAGCAAAATGCATGCCTGCCTCAGCTTGTCATGGGGATTGCTGACTCAAACACGTGTGGTTTGCGTCTTGTCTAGGCAGCTTGACGGCGCTGTTTGGTGTTGATCACAAGGAGACGGTGAAGCAAGCACGTCTACGGAGATGCGTGTGAATCAATTCCTACAGCTTGTACATGGTGCTCGTGGCAAGAGATGTCTCTTCGAGCCATTTGGCAACGATCAAGGGCAGCAAAATTGAAGCTTGAAACCGAGCTCTGTGCAGCAGGACATGTTGAAGTGAGATAGTACAGAACCGCATCGTTACACCTTCAAACTCAAGCACTTGGAGTATGGCGTCACCGGAGTCACCAGACCTCTGCCTTACTAGCCCTCTTTCCGCTTTGGAGCCGGCTCGAAGCAATGCCACGCGGGAGCCCTCACTTCGTTGGTTCATGCTAGTGCGTGCTGCACTTTTGGTGTACGTGACCTGTCTCTCAGCCGCTTGGCCTCAGACGATCACGGAGGCCCAAAATGGATAGATCTTTCCGTCAAGACAAGCTGAGGCCTGCAACCTGCCGCAGCGGCTTGGTACGCAGAGATCAGTTGGTGTCCAAAGTACATTTGAGACTGTCCGCTTCCGAGGCCATGTATTGAGGGTGTAGCTGGCGTGTCGAAGCCTTAGTTATGCTGCTGCCGTCAAAGTGCAGTCTGCACGAGCAGTATCAGTTGCTGGCTGAATGTCCAGAATCAAAGGATTGGCTGGCTCTTAGACGAAGATGGAGACAAGCCCTGTGAAGCTATCTGGGCCAAAGCAGTCTCCGAGTCAGCCGGCAGCCATTCACGTCACCAACATTGCCCTGCCTGGGCTGGTACAGGCAGGACTGACTGCCAAAAGATTGTCAAGGTGGTGTGTTCTCGAGAACGCCCCCAGATGATCTGAGTCGGGGGCATGGGCGCCGACGTTTTCGGGGGGCGCTGGGGGGACCGGGGCCCGCCAAAGACTGCAGCTGATGCTGATGCTGGCCGTCTCGGGGCCCATGTGCGCACCTTGTCGCATCCAGATTTTGATAATGCGATGTTTTTCATTCGAAAAACCTCGATATTTACAGCGTTTTCGCATGTTTCGCAGCCACAAAGGATCACAAAGGCGTAAGCCGCCAAGGAAGCCGAGCTATGCCGGTGATTGGGGATGGGGCGGGGCAGAAAGGGTCGGCACCAATGGGGGACCCAGCTTCAAACTCCCGTTAGGGCGGTGAGGGATAGCCGCCAGGATCTGAACGCGTCGGTATACCTTTCCCAGAAATTTTTGCTGCCATCTAGGCCTCTACCGTCGCGGCTGGAAGCAGCTTCATCGGACTTGGGTCCGCTGCACCAGGCCGTCCAAAAGCATGCCCGGAACGCGGTCAAACATGTGCACATTTTGCGACCATCCCCCAGCCAATTTCGAGTTTCGCATCCGTGCCGGCGATGCCGCAGGGGTGCGCATCACAAGCATCAGAGGGACCCGCGAAAATCCGCGGCTAAGCTGCTTGAAGGCCTGCGGCCTTGCAGAAAGGGCCTGCTGCGCTACCCGATTGGTGGCTGAGGCCTTTGCCGCCGACCCTTCTAAGCTCCCCAAAGGCTTGTGGTGCTGTGAGCACTTTTGCTTTCGGGTTCTAAGGTGCCACGGTCCCGTTGGAGATGGAGGGGTGGGAAAAAGCGGGGTGCGCATCCGTGAGGTGGTAGGAGAAGGGGAGGGGAGATGGAATGTGTGCGAACGTGCAAGACAAAGGGCTTCCCAGACGCCGACCAGGGGTCGGCGGATCTTTGCTGGCAGCATTGCAGGCAAAAGTGCCTGGAAGAATGGAGTCTTCAGAGAATGCAACTTGCCGGCATTTCCCACCGTTCCGGCTCTCTTTTGGTTGAACAACCTTCCAGGGTTACGTGCCAGTAGCTCACACAAGATTGCTCGGCGTGGCCTGATGCGGCTTCCTGACACGCCTAGTTACTTTCGGAGCTCAAACCAGCTTCATGAAGTTTTGGAATTCATCCTTCTTTCTGCAAGTGGCACTGTGCTGCACTTCTGCAGTGAATATGGTAAGGCTGGGATGTTATCCGAGCTTGCGGCCACACCATTGGCGCAGGGACTTGTGTGCCGAGAATGTCGGCTGTAATGGAGGCGAAGGTGAGCAGTTTTTGGTGAGATTGCATGCGCGCGAGTACTTGTACCTGGCTCTTATTCGCCAACGCCTCCGATGCCTGCAACGTGGTGTGGCGAGAGCTGTACTGCACAAGAATGCGTGGCAGGTGCCAGTGCACGGAAAGCCTCTACCCCCAGTGTGTGGTCGCATGCCAGTGGTTCCGTCATGGGGCAGCGTTATAGAGCGACGAGGCCTAGCGCCATTCGCATGTCGCTTGTCGCTGTGCGGCTCGAATCGTGTCTTCGCTTTGGCAGGAAGGCTCGCTAATGGAGAGATGGCATCTCTGCTGCAGCTTCGAGTCGAGTGGGGTCAAGCACGCCTTGCCACTACACTTCAGCAACTCTAGACGTATTGCCTGGATGTCTCACAATCGAAATTTACGTCCTTCGCCTGGCACTAGTTGCTAGTTGGTCCATATACTAGGAAGGGGAGCCGAGGAGCTCGCCGTCGAAGGGTCAAAGCACCGTTCTGAGGTGGAGGATGCCTGGGATTTCCAGCTGCAGGAGACCCCTTGTCGACTGGGCGTCCGGGAGGTTCCCCACATCGAGCGCTGCCTCGCAGGCCTCGTGAAGCACACTGTCACAACGCACGGAGTCGGAGTTTTCAGCTTAGGCAGTTGGATTGTCTTGATTGGAGCATCGCAAGCCTCCGTGTGGACACAGCAGCTGGCAAATCTTCTCGCCCCTGGTGCCCTGGACTCTTTGCGGGATGACTTTGTGTCAGATGGAAGCATGGCTGCAGTGTGCTGCAGCTCATACCCGAAGTGTGGCCCTGTTCTCAACAAGACGGTGGCAGTGGTGGAACTGGAACCAGCAAATTGTCTGTGCTCTGTTCGATCGGCCCACTTTGATTCTCTGAGATTTCCACTCGCAAAAAGGAGTCTACTTGCACCTTGTTGATCTGATCATCGAAGATGGGAGGGTAGTGTGGCCTGGACGGCAAGGGCTCCTTTCTGGCATCGTTTGCGTTGGACCAACACTGCTATGCCAAGGCACAAGGTGGTGGGGTTCGAGGGTGGGCACGAAGTCGAAGACCACCGAGGCTCCAAAAGGGCTGTGACACGTAGGCCGAGAGTAGCAGTGACACGTCATGAGCTCATTGAACTCATCTCGAGCCTGGAAGTCTGAAGTCAGAACCGGGAATGATGAGCGTGCTTTTCCTCACAGGTGCACACTCGGACGCACGCGATGCTGTGGAGTTGCCTCGGGTGTATGCTCGACTGGCAGAGGCGCCTCTCTACAACCACAGCTCTGGCCAGATGCTCGCCTGAACAACGCGTCACAAGTACTTGGCACATGGCGAAGCATGTACAAGCGCGTATCCTTGACTCAGGATCCGTGTGACCCATCTCATTGCCGAGTACTGGGATGAAGCGGAGAGCGGGTTGGTGGCGCTTGACATGGTCTCGACAGGAGCATCCATGCACGCGCGCGCGCGCGCGCGCGCGCGCCTCCACACATGGTTTGAAGGCCCTGTGTGCATTGCAGGAGGCTGGAAAGAGAGCCCGATATTTCTGATCGTGGGAGTGGGCCTTTGGTATGGCTACGCCAAGGGCTGTGCCCTCGACTGGTGTGACACCAGGCTGTCAATGCCGTTCTGGTTTTACTTCTCAAGGGTCTTGCGAGGCTTGAAGACCTGAGAGCCCATGAGAGCGGTGTGAATGCCAGGCCCAGCATTGCGGGCTTGGGCCTTGAAGCCATCCTCGCAGTATTCACGGAGGGAATGCAAAGGACCTCAACTTGAACCTGTGATTGTCTCGTCTGCATCTGCGCAGCTTTGACTTTTACCATCCAGGATGGCACAGAGGCTGCAGACATTCTGCAATTCTGGGCGTGCTGCTTTGCATGGGTGTACCGTGACATCGGCCGGAGTCTCAGAAAGTGAAAGACTGCGCCTCAATCCTGCCGTGTCCCTTGGGTAAGATCGAGTACTGCAGCGAGTTGTACCAGAACACAGTCTACGTCCACCTTCATCAAGCTATGAAGCGGGAGTTCAGACCGCACCCAAGTTGCAAGTTCCAGGAGAGACCGTTGTATCATTAATTCATCACTCGCGCTCGCTGCTAGCAATCAATGCGACGACCGGAACACTAGGTATGTTTCGAAAAATGTCCGCTACTTCGACATGTGGGAATTCCTGGAGCAGGCTTGTTCTGTCCAACTCTCACACTTTTCCTGCCGACTTGGCAAGTTACAAAGCTCGCAGAAGTATCAAGCTTCGACTGTGCAACAGGTCCCTGAAGACTGCCTCTTCGGCCATATGTCTCCTGCATCCGCGAGCTTTATGATCCAAGCTGTGCTTCAGAGCCTCCTGGTTGCAACTTGCACCCATGTGTCTTGGATGTTCGTCTAGACCTGCGTGAACCCAACTTTTGCACGTAACTAGTGCAATGCTTCACCCGATTGGACAGGTGTTTGTCCGGCAGACGACGTCGCTGATGCCACGCTCATCGCTTTTGTCGGGAAGGCTGAAACTACATGTCCCGTCCTCCAAGCTTCCTCGTCCACCGGCCAGTGCACAGTCTCTCCCACTGGGCAACATGCGAGCAACAGTCGCCAAGCCACTTCGAGTGCTTCTTGAGGGCTTTTTTCCTTGGATCTTTGTAGCTTCTGTCTCCATCCCGAAGGACCGAAGGTCCCGTATGCCCTCGTCTTGTCAGTGCCTGGTTCAGGCATGCAGATCACGGCAGATTGTGCCCTACTGCCCTGGGATGTCCTGCGGTGGCTCCACAACGGCATAGAGTTCAAAAAATCTGGGGCTAACTCGGAGTGAACTAAGGCTACATGTATACCTGGGACTATGCCCTGGCACAGAACTGCAAGTTGGTGGCTGCAGTTGATCCAGAGCTCGAAGAAAGAGGATACCAGCCCGCGCTTGGCCAGTCACTCAGTCGCTCTCGGCATGTGGCATAGGACGTTCGACCATCCAGGGATGGACGCTTAGGTCCAGCACTTGCCTCTTCTTGGATGCTGAGCGCCAGTTCCCGAGATCCATCGCTGTGGTTAACCTGAGTTTTGACCTGCATTCAACTGTGCATACCGTCGCCTCGCACGATTCGAATCCCAGATGACGCTGGAAGGCTGCCATGCAGTCCTTCAAGACTAGCAGTGACTACTAGTAGCACCTACATCCTGTTCGTAGCTGCGTCTGGCATATGTTAGCAATGGCATGCTCGCAACGATCAGGCAGCGCAGCAAGTCCAAATGCACATTTCTCTGGCGGTGTGCCATCATGGACAAATCCCATGGTGCAGAGAAACCGCTTGCGTCAGTACTTCAGGCACTTGCAAAGCAACGGACTGCCGAGTGGAACGAGGAGAATTGGAGAACTGCTTCTTCAACCGTCTTGCAAAGTGTAAGGACAAAGGCCGCAACAACGACTGATCTGGTAAGCGTACTGATGTTCTTGGCCAAGGCATCTAGTCAAAACTCCAGAGGCATCGCGAACCCCGAGTGGAACCAGTGGATGCTTTCAGATGAGCTCCTGACAGCCGTCCTGGATGAGGTCAGTGAACCCTGGAAGGTTGCCGAGTTACCGTCGCGGTTGTTGCAGTCCCTGTGTAACAGCTGTCTCGACCTGCAGCTCGCGTTGCCACGACGTCTGCGAGACAGCCTGGCATGTCGGATGCTTGAGTTGCTACGGCGGAAAGAGCTGTCTCCTGCCGTTGACGTCCTGGCTGTGCTGTGTGCCCTTGATCCAAACCCAAGCCATTCCCATCTGAGCCGCTGGGCCCTAGAACTGATGCACTCAACACGCAAGCAGCGGCTTCCTAGCAGGGTCCTTCAGACGCTGCTGCTTCACGTGGGGCCCCGTCTTCCGGCGAAAAGCGACCAGCTTCACTCGCTCTTGCTGTCGGAAGCACTCTGCAGCCCAAAGGTCACTCTCGCCCTCTTAAGGTATGTTCTGTACCTGCACTTGTGCGGTGTCCCAAACACACTGTCTGCAAGGCTATCTCGGGTCTCGGTGCAAGGACTGTGCCGCATTCAAGACAGAGTCCGTCCCAAAACTACAGCGCCCGAAGCGTTGATGGGAACTCCAGTGGTATCATCGCTCCGGTCGCTCGCCAATCAGAGCACTCCAACATCTTCGAGTCTTGAGAAAGATGTCCTCCGAGCGCTTCAAGCGATGCTAAGACGGCTGGTCCCTGTGCCGTCTGTGCAGCTCCAATGCAGCGTGTCAAATGTTTTCGTTCTTGATATGCTTCTACAAAGCCTGGCACAAGGAGATGACCAAGGGAGAGAAAAAGTATGCAATTGCTGATGCAACAAAAACCGACAGGAACCGATCAGTGCAGACTCCAGAGATGACCAGTGTCCTGCCTGAAGGCCGATGCTGAAGCGATAGAGGCCGCCACAACGACCACCACCACCACTACTGAAGCCACAACCACAGGGCTTCGCAATGCTTGGAACCCAGCACATCAGCAATCGCGCAGCCTTTCTAGATGCATGCGGCTTCGGTCTCAATTTCAGTTGCCGTTGTTTAGGACACCGTGCTCCAGACCACGACTCACCGGAGTCAGGCCGAATCGAAATCCATGCGAGCCTGCTGCAAGTAAAATGCCTGCCCACAAGGCAGCAGCCAAACGTGAGTTTTGGCCTGAAGGTCGACAAGGCCTGACTGCAGCAGTACATATTCTCGAAGGGTCCGTCTGGTTCGTCTCTGTTGATGCAGGCCTACAGCCTGGCCTCAGCATTCCGACCTCCAGCAGTTTCATGTTCTGGGAGAAGTTGGTTGGTGTGAGACAGGACTCTCGACTGCAGCTGGGCTAGGTCCAAGACAGGCTTTAACTGCAGCGTGTCTGAATCGTTGAGAGCGTGCAGTAAGGACCCAATTTTGGCTCAGTGGGTGTTTTCATCGCTCCTGCTTGCAGCCGCTGTCTTGATTGCCCGCTATGCACGGCCTTGCATGAAGGCCGTGTCTCTGAAGAATCTCTTCGACTCATTGCCAAGCTGCAAGCTCTGGTTTCATGTCAGGCAGTGAAGGTAGATGAGATGTTGGACCCAATTCTGCCCTTCAAGGCGGTGCCTGTCACAATGCAGACTGCAAGCATGGCTTCTTTGCCGGTGCGCAAAGGTTGGCGAGGATCTGGAGGAGCCACCTGCAGCTTGGTGGTCGGAGGACTGGGGAGCAGGCCAGGGACCAGGGACAAAACCCGAGACGTGACGAGACCTAAGAGCTCGATGCGAGTGCTCGCAGTGCTCGAGCGTCAGGTTCCCCGAAGGTGGCACCGCGCCTGTCCAGGGGGGACGGCACGGCACCGTCTCCGGACGCCAGTGACGACATGGATTCCGAGCAGCGGCTCCTCAACAGCCCCACTTCATCTGCGGTTCTGACCAGTCCCAGTCCGAAAGTTGGACCAAACTCGTGCGGTGAGATGGTCTTTCGAATGCCGCCGAAGGGCGATCGCTACTCTTTCGGCTTAGCCCGATACTTGGCATCCCTCCATGTCGTCCTGGGCCACCTCAACGCTCGGGGCCAGACGATGGATGTGTTACCCGGCTAGTGACGGATCCCCGAAGCATCCGTGCTGTTCCTGCGTCTCGAAAGCAAGGTACATGTGCAACTGGGGGTTCACCTGGGTGCCTTGGTTCTTCATGCTCTCGGGATTCATCCTTGGCACCGCGGAGATGAAAAACCCGCGGAAGGCTCGACGGGACGCGAAGGGATGCCGAAGCGGCAAGGCTTGCGTCATGAGAGCCCTGCCAGGAGCAGCCTTACGAGTATGTTGCCAGACGATTCGCCAGAAGCTTATCGGAACTCGTGGAGCGCGCGCAAAAGAGGAGGGCAGCATGAATTCAGCCAGCTTTGATTTGCTCCGTGATTAGGTCACAATCTATCCTGTCTATGCTGTGAGCCTTCTCATTGCGAGCATTCCTGCCGTGATCTCTGGGACGCTGCCAAGTGGTTGGGTACTGCTCATGCAGGTGCTGAGATCCATGAAGCGACATCCAGAAGAAGATTCGTCAGCACGTAACATACATGCACGGTGATCATTTGTGTCAGGCTTGGCTGATGCAAGCATGGGTGCCTACCATCACGGAGAAAGGCTTGCAAATGCAGAGCTTGCCTCAGGACGCGTCCTCTGCAATTTTGTCTTGCAGCCTTGGACAGACGAGGTGTTGGTTCCTGTCCTGCCTCGTTGTGTACTGGACTTGCTTCCCAACTTTCGCCAGGCACCTCACCTGCATAGAAAGGCATGTCTGTGAGATACACTATGCACCGCACTTCTGTGCTCAGCCGAGGAGAGTATCCCACATTCAATTGCAAGAGGCACAGAATGCAAGGGCATTTTGGGACAGCTTCGTTCTATTGCACGGGCAGGTTCTGCTTGGAATGGCTGCATTGTGCAGCTTTCCTGTGCTTTACATGTTAATACCCGACCTCTTCTACGGGACCACTAACTGGTACGTTGCTCGGCTACAGAAGCCCGTGTGTGACCGAGTGCTTCTTTTCTGTCGTGCCTGAGTTAAACCCACTGCGGAAGTGATTTTTCCGACCCGCACAAGGAGTACCACAGCTGGGGAAAGATGCGTAATGCGACGGACATCATTGTCATCGTGATAAAGTTTCATCCCATTTGCGATTTGGCCGAAGTGTATTGCAGGCCTTTGGCCTTGTCAGTTCGGCTGCAATAAGACTTGTGATTCAGGCTACCTGCATGTTTTCCTCCTGGGGATGCTGCTGGCACGCTTGCGGCTGCTCTTGCCAGGTGCCTAGGCAAGTGCCCAGAGGCTTGAGCCAGTACAGACAAATGACACAGAAGTCTCTCCGTCGGCATAGTCGTTTCAAGGTCCGAAGAGATGGCTTCGGAGATGCGAACGGCCTTCTTCTCAGACAGAATTCTGCTGCAGGCGGCTGTAGGCCACTGTGCGCCACTGAGACCAGGCACTAGCTCTCCTGCTCGACCTCTTGGCTCCAGTGGGATACTTCGGTCTCCTCCTGGTCGTGAGCTGAGGAAGTCTTGTTTGCAGTGTCCAAGTGTTGTCCAATGCACCACGAGCAAAGGTCTTCAATGTACCTGCTGCGAGTCCTCCGTATGCGAAGCTGTCGGCCCGGATCCTCGTTCTGCTTCCGCTGCAGGCACTCGAAATAGCAGTGACTTCCTATCCCCATCAGGATGCCCGGAGAAACGTGATGTGCGGCCTCTTATTGAATGCATTGTGGTCTGCAGTCCTTAAATCAGGGGACCCCATGGAAGTTGAGAGGAGTCGAGATCTCCAGATTTCTGTTTCTGATGCTCATCGTGAGATTCGTGCAGGCTGCGATTCTGCTTGGCCTGGCTGGTCTCGAAGGCTTCCCACAGCCGAAGCCATCGACTGAGTCGCTCATGTTCTTGTGCCCGGATGCGTGACTGCTAAGTCGACTATATTGTTGTCGGAGAGAGGCGAGAAAGTAAAACTTCACTTCTCTCTCTCTCTCTGATTTTTCGGGTGGTGGTTGCTAAGAGAAGCGAGGCTTGCGAAGTGGGTCTCTGGCTTCAATTTCCTGGCCGCTTGGATGCAGCGCCTCGGGCCTCAAGGGCCCACATTGCCTCGGCGTAGCATCGCATCGCGATGCCCCTCGCGACGCCGTGCGCGTCTCCTTCGGGATCGCTTTTTTGCTGCTACGGGCGCTCTTGTAGAGTTGGCGGTTTTCGCGGAGTCGGCCTGCATGTCCGCTCTGCACCCTGCGTTTTCTACTTGCTGAGCTTTCGTGGCCCCCCTGTGCAAGTCTTCAGTTGAGAGGTGATTTCGCTCAGTCCTGGCATCACACGGCTGTCAGTTTCCACGAGGGCTGGGAAAGCGCCTTCGCTGCTTTCGCATCTCAGCGCAGGAGTCTTACTCGTATTGCGTCTACGTGATGCAGTTTATCTGCATGAAGCTTTGGGCTGGCGAGGACCTTCCCTTCTGCCGTCTTGGTACATGTTAATCCCTTTGTATCGGGCATCTGAGTCCTACGCATTCTCTGACAGCCACCGATGGCTGACAGGAGTTTTCTGTGCCCTTCTTCATGTACTTGATTGCCATTGCAACGCTGATGCAGGTTTTTGTCTGGTGCTTAGAGGCTTAGACTTCTGGAGTGTTTAGGCGGCGTGTAGGTGGCCCTCTGAAGCATGTCAGTGGCTGACGAGGTGCAACGACCCGCGGAAGTGTTGTGGAAGATCTCTCCCCTGAAGGCTGAACAGCTTGCAACAAGAGCTGTGGCAAGCTGCCAGGCTGATAGGGTGATTCTTGGTCCCTTTAAGCTCATCGTTGCTGATATGTGAGGTTGCTGTTTGCTGTGCGTGGGCCGGCATTGCAGAATCAATCTTCTTTGTGGGGAAGGGAGAGTTGCAGCGGGAGCTCATGCTTGGAAGCGATGCATAGGCAGCCTGGATGGCTCCAGCGGGCATTTCAATGGTGTTGCTTCTGATTTGGACCCTTGCCTGCACTGGTCCCGTCAGTGGAATAAGGTTTCTGGATGGGTTCCCAAGATTGACAGTTGTCACAAGAGCACATGCGGAGAATTGGAGAGCAGGCTTGAGAGCTGAGGCTGGGCGGTTGTCTTTTACCGGCTCCTACGGTCGAGGTCACTTGAGAAGAGGTGGGTGTTAGAGGGTACCGTAGATTGTGCCGGCAGGTAGACCTGCCTGCGAAGATCCATCAAGACGGGCTTCTTGATGTCCGGCTCCCTTTGGTGATGAGTGACAAGGATGGGAAAGCAGTAAGCTGTAAAGTCCAACAGAATACGACCCAGCAGCTGAAGGACATGCGTGCCACAGGTGGTGGGGCAGGGAGCTTGGCAAGCGTTCGAGAGTAGTTTGGGTATACTTTTGCCCAATCAATCAAGGCTTTTATCAACCCGTCCATCGCCGTGTCTCCAGATGGAAACCGGCTGATCATCGCGGCGCGCCTTCACAGGCTTGATTGGTGCACGGTCGCAGTGCCCAGACAGATGGAAGAAAGGTACTGACGAACCTGAATGGCTTTTTGATTTAATCGGAGGCTTATTTTTTGGGAACTATTGTCGCTGCATTTCGGACTTGATTTGTTTGGGGTAAGTAAGGAAGGAGACTTCATCAACAGCTAAAGCAGGACCCCACACTAGCAATTCACCTGAAATAGCTTGCCGCGAACCATGGACCGCAGTTTTTGGATTTCACCACCAGCTTGCGGGTAATATTTTGTAGATAATTGGAAGAACGTGCCTGCGCTCTGTTCGACTTCTGCTGCCCTTGCTGCGCTCCAAAAACCGCTGTTCGGCAGGCGCTCATCCAGACTTCTCCGCGAAAGCAGCAAAAGCATCGGGAACCAGAGCAACATCACAAACAACGCGACCATGCACGACTACGAGGCAGTGCTGGAGGCCAGGGCCGAACATAGGATTGGCTGAGTTTACCGCCGCAAGCTCCTGCAGGGCAGCGGAGTTGGGGGAGGCTTTGGGCACTGATTTTCGGAGGAGATCTGGCACTCGCAGATCGTCGTCGGAACCGCGAGGATGGCTGCCGAGGATTGGAGAAGGCCCATAGACCCATAGATGTGTCCTCCGCCTGGGGCTCGGTCTGCTTTTGTTTCACGAGGTTCTTCAGCAGCGGCCAACTCCCCGCCAACGGGACGACATTGCGACCGTGGAGCGGCGGCTTCCCTAGATTCCTCGGCCATGCCCGGCCTGCGCCACAAGCAAACTGCGCTGAGAGATGCGGAGTTTGCAGAGGTCTCCGCATGGAAGATGGCAAGAGCTGGACATATCCAAACTTGTGTGAGCGGCAGAAGTATGTTCCGGAGAACAAGACTCTCATAAGGCGCAGCTCTGAGGAGAGTCGAGAAGTCTCAATTGATTTTCCATTGAAAGTGTCAGGCTTGTGGTGACAGGCCCAGAGGACATCCGGAAGCGAAGTCGCCAGAAGTGGCTTCCTATGCACCTTTTCAGGATCCGAAGGTGATCCCCTTGATGCAGGGCTATTGCGACAAGTCAAGTGCCGATTGCCTCTCGTTGGCAGGCGCAGGTGCGCGGCACACTTTAAAGCTTGCTGTTCTTCCAGTAAGGCAGCACTCCGCGTGAACCAGGAGACCCATGCATCTGAGCTTAATTGGGATCATTCTCATGTGGTGTTGGATATGGTTTCGAGGTGGCTCCTCACGTGACCATTGCCGCAACTGCCATTCCAGATGGTGCTCTTCGGAAGAGGTCGCAATCGTTGTCCGCTTGCTTCATGACCCAGCTTCCTAGCCTTCTCGGCACAGCAGCAGAGGTGCAAATCGCTTTCAGCTCCTACACGCCCAAGGCCCGTGACCGCCGGCTTTAGAACATGCAGCTTGAGTGAAGCGTGTTGTGTGGGCTCCTGGTGCGACACAACATGGCATCTCCAATCCATGGCCAGCCCCCATTAGCCTGAATCTATATTGCTGGTTGCTTGATGTTTCAATCGGATTTTGCGGCCCAGGCAGGCAAAGACTGCAAGCGGCGAGATGTGATGCAGATGTTTCTGGCTTCAGGTGCCGTCCACTTGCCTCACAGACAGCGCCTTTTGTCCATATTGATCTGGTCACTTTCACCGGCAGGTGTAGATGCAAAGGCAGTGGATAAGGCAAGGCCTGTTCGTGACATACTCGGTCACGCGCGAACAAGTTGTCCAACCAAGGTGTCGCAAGGCCTCCACTTGAAATGCGGACGTGACGTCCTCGGACATGTTGAAAGCGGTCTAAGCGAACGAGCTCAAGACTTGCTTGATCTCAGAATGGAACCACAACGAGAAGAATTGGATCCCTTTTCAGCGCAATAGCCGCACATATGTGGCCGGAGCTTGAGCTGTCTGAGGGAGGGAGACGGAGAGCGCTTGCTTTTGCCTCACAACAAAGCTCAACATTCCTGGAAAAGGTCTACTCTCTAGTTCCCCATCTTGTCCACGAGCTGGTCCACGACGGGCAAGGCACCTGTGGGCCACAGCCTCAGTCTCTGTGAAGCGGAGCTGGGGAGACAGTCTAACGGTTCACCTGCAGGTCACAGTTTCGTACCCTCTTCCCACCACTGGCGCAGATGCAGGAGTGTCGATTGATCTCGGTTGTCAGTTGCACACGTCCACATAGATTGAAGCTAGGCTAACCTATCCCTTTGCAGGAGAAGGACCTCGACAAGGCCTATCGAGGATCTGGTCAAGCCGTTCATGTAGATGTCTGTTCCTCAGCCAGCTTGCAAGTTGCAAGTACTCGTACCCGCGCTAACTTGAGTTGACGCACTGCAGATGTGTCTGTGTTTGCCCGGGGCCGACGCTGCCCGAGGCGTCTGCAGCAAGAGCAGCGAATTTGACCCTACGGCAGTCGCACTTCCTGGCTTTGTTCCACGTGGCAGACTTGAAGGTAACTGAGTGCAGTGTTTCTTTGGGAGTCGTGGAGCATGGCAAACCCGGCAGGTCCGCCGCTACTGGCATTATGCCTATCGGTTTTCTCCCGATCCACCTTTCCAGATTTTGCAGGCGAAATGCCGCACTGCCAACGCCAACGTGTGTTCTCGCGGAGCCTTTCAGGTCTCCAAGGCTTTGCCTCTGCAAGAGCTACCACCGCGGCCGCTCGCAGCTCAGCGTTTTGATCAGGATTTGCCAGAGAATGCCAGAGACGGCATCCCCAGGTTCGCTCCTCGCTTTGCCTTCGCCAGTGGCCTTGCAGTTCATGGCCATCAGGTTCCGTCTGACGAAATCGGCGCAGCATGTCGAAGCTGTTCTAAGATGGCAGGTGACTATTGCGTATGCAGCTGGAGACCGTGAGCCAAGGGTTCCTGTCTCAGTGCTCGTGCTCGCTGTCGCCCTCCCTCTCACTCGCTCACATGCCGTGCCCGTCTGTCTGTCTGTCTGTCTGTCTGTCTGTCTGTCTGTCTGTCTGTCTGTCTGTCTGTCTGTCTGTCTGTCTGTCTGTCTGCCCGTCTGTGCGTCTGTCTGTCTATCTCTCTCTCTCTCTGATTTCCTCCTCGTTTTGTGAAAGCAGACTGGCTACTGCCCTGTGCTTTGGTTCGTTCTGGTCTTGGCATGCAGATATGCACGTAAGCACATCAGACGCATCCATGATGAACGGTTCGGCGAGGCCCTGTCAATGACACTCTCCAGGCTAGATGAATTCTTTGCCTAGTCCAATTCGAAGGCTGGGCCGGTCCGGCCTGATTTGATCGGTTTGTAGTCTTGGTGGCCCACCACTCCAGGTGGCTCAGGTAAGGGCCGCGTTAATGATTCCTGATGACTGCTGTGCAAAGCCTGATTTGTTAAACTCGAGAAATGGCTCAGCAAAAGCACCTTTGGATAGCTGGACTTCAGCAGGACGTCATGGCAGGAGACAGGCAAAATGCTTTGCTACGAAAGGCAGGGTATGTCCTTTAATGATCGATGTTGCTCCATGAAAACCGTGGTCAATACATGTCGATACTGTCGCTCTCCGTTGCGCAAGCAGCCGAATTCAAGTCCGCATGGCTCCCACAAGGGACTCGTGCAGCACATCACGCACGTCCAAGATAGTGCAGTTGTGGTCCAAAGCGACCGCACATAATTGAAATTCGTTGCAACGCACAGCTCAAGCACGCGATTCAAAACGAGACTTCGTTACTAGTGGCGGTTGGTTGCGTTGCATGTTGTCTGATTGCATGGCCCGGCGCTAAGTTGACGTCTGTGTAGGCATGTAGTAGCACACCTTGCTTTTCCGACCCTCAGCATCTACTTTGCTCGAATCCTGGCCAAAGTGTCAGCCGGGGGTTTTCCAATATGAAAGTGCAATGTGCAAACAAGCTCGAGCTCGCACACACTTCGGCCTGAGCACAGAAGACGCGTAAAGCGTTGATCACACTCGAGCCGAGTCTGCAGCCCACTCCAGAGCCACTCCGACCTGGTCTCAAGAACGTAGAGTGCAAGCATTGGCCCCGCATTGCGACCACACCTCCCTGACTCCCTGTGGCGCCAGCGATTCTTGGGACCCACTGGTCACGCCGACCATGCTCCTCGGATATTTTGCTTGCTCGGTGCATGCGACCAGCAGAAGCGATAGAATGTCTTGCGCAGCTACTGAAGCAGGCATGGCCCTACCAGCGTCGCAGATGCTTCTTTCAAGGTCAAGAATACATTCCTTGAAATAGCTCCGGTTGAGGACCACAGCAGGTCATGATCATGTGCCATAAATGTGTCATTGTCATTCATTGTCTTGTCCGGAGGAGGAAGCAGCGCTTCGGAAGAGGCCCTGAAGACCGACCGGACCGAGCCAGGGTTTGCTCAGACTCGTGCCCTTTCCGTCCGGTTAGGCGGAGCCGAAGTGATGGACACGACTTAAAGAAGTCACCGCTGGTGGCCCCAAACTAAGTTCAGGGCAGTGACGAGCATAGATTCAAGGTGTGCAAAACCGGACGTTCAGACACTTCAGATTGATGTGTGTGCTTTCGTGGTGCTCGTTCAGGTCGCGTCTAAGTCGCCAATTGCATCTCCATTGTCTGCAGCTCAGCTTGGAAGAGTGACGTGCCGGCCAGCAGGACATGCATGAGAGCAGCATGGCTGTTTTTCAAGACCGGCACCACAGTTCGTGTCCGAAAGGGTGTGCATGACATGCTTACGTCGGAGATGGGCCGGGAGGCATGGGGAGACGACCCCTTGCGGTAAGCCGGAAGATACGCAGCCAAACCACGCTTGGAGTCGCGATTTTGACCGACCTTTGCGCTGTCCATGGGTGGACCTTCAACCACGGCTTCGGGAGCCGCCGCAATCGCCTGATGGACTTGCCTGATGGCGACATATACAGCGCTGTGCACAGCGTGCTCATGAATGCCGAGGGCAATGGGTTGAAGGATATCCTCGGCCAGGAATTTATCGGAAGCCTGTTGCAGCAGGAGACGACGGCATCGGGCCCAGAAGAGCCGCCTGGATACATGAAAAGTACAAGAAAAGAGCACGAGCATGAACCCAGAGTGTCTGGTCCAGTACTGGATCGACCGTATTCTGCATCCTTGGCCGGTGCTTTGGACTACTGCATTCGTGAAGGCCACTTTCAACGGCCTCCTCTACCGCAAAACGACGGCCTCACCAGCCTTTTGGTAGAAGACGACCAAGAGATTGTGCGGTGGCAGGAGTGCGTGCAAAGTTGCGGAACGCAGAATTTAATCTTTGCCTTTTCATGCCTTGGGCGGCGTGGAGTTCGTCTGGCACTGGGGCAGCGGTGGACAGCAGGGAGCTGCGACATGCTCCCGCCCTCTCGCAAGGAGCTCATCCAAGCGTTCAGTGCCCTCAACAGAGACGATGCCTCCGAGAGCGACACAGCGGCAACGAGTTTTCCATCTTTGATCCTTCGGCTTCCGCCTTTCTTAGCACTGTTAAGGCGAGACCGACAGTGCCCCTGGCATGGCAGAGGTGGAGGACGAAGCCCAGGCGCTGAGGTCGCAGATCAAGACGCTCGCCGAGCAGGGAAGGCACGCGGAGATCGACGTGGCCATTTCCAGAATGCGCCTCGCAACATTCTTACGGCAGATTCCGAACTTGAGCCAGCCGAGTAATCTTGACCTTCACGAACCGCCGTTGAAATGAAGGCCGCAGGCCAGCAGTGTATGAAGCATCCTGTCGGTGATGGCTGACTGAGGAAGCAGCTGACGAAGATGAAGCGCTCCTCGGAAGATTTGGACGTGGATGGATGATGCTACGCTGCTACCTTGGCCACCGCGCAGATTTCGCCCAGGCGAGCTCCTGCAACGTCCTTCCCTGCTGAGTGTGGGTGCCCGAGCGTTGGCCAAGCACGCCTCACGTCCAAATTAGGGGCTCGCTCTCCACTGCAATGGCATCCATGATTGCTTTGACTTGCCAGGCACACCGTGGCATGGAGGGCTTCTGGGCTGGCGCAGCTTCCGGAAGCGACGCAGTGAAGAACCATTCCGCAGAGACTGCTCTGCGCACAGTCCTGCAGGAGGCTGCCGCTCGGAGCAAGCGGTGCTTCATTCTAAAAGAGTGAGAGCACCTCTGAATTCGGTTCGTTGAGGTCTGGGGCAATCTTCATCAATTGCCGGGGGGCCTCCCCACCTTTGAGGCTTCTCCAAAGCACAGCTTGAGGCAGATTGAAATCCTTTTTCTTCGCAGGATTTTCACACTCATGTCAGCTCAGGTACGGGTCAAACAAGGATACGGAGCTCGTTGGACTGTCTCGGAGGACGGATCAACCAAGTTTCGAGGCCCGGAGAACGCTCCCGTTCTTGTTGTGGCTTATCTGATGTTCGCTCTTAGGTCTTTTGGAGCCCATGATGGAAGACGGGCACGAAAAGCGCTGGCGGCACGACCTGGTGACGAAGTGAGGGCTTGATGGAGAAATTGCTTAACGGAATCCTGCTGGTGAGCTCGTGAGTGTGGTCGCCCCCGACGGCGAAGTGTGCTACCTTGCTCGCAAGAAATGGCAAGGAGTTCCTGGCGAGACAGCTTAGGACATACGGCAGGGCATGGCAGGGCAACGTCTGGGAGCAGTATCGAGCAGCCCGCTCTGCGGAGGAAAATGATCTGAAGCTTGACGCAGGTCCATAAGTAGCTCGTCACAGAACCCACGCAAGGTTGCAGCCGGTCGATGAGACTCGCCAGGCCAACGCACTTTCTCCAGAAAGCCTTCCCCAAGCATGACTTTCCACAGGCGATGCCCATTGATGATGTGGACTTTGAGATGCTTGAGGATGCTGCTGAGGCCAAGCTGCCATGTTCAACAGCCTCGAATTGTCAGTGCGGCGCAGGGAAGCTCTCACAGCTCTCAGGTAGAGGGGGACTCTCCAACTGCGGCCGCAACTCGGAAGAGGTCTCACAAGACATGAGCGAGCTGATTGGGCTGCAATTCATGTGCGATGTGCGAGGACCGCCTCCAATGGTGAGTCTGTAGCCCAGGTAGTGCTCGACCCAGATCTTCAGTTGTAAGATTCAGTGTGAACCGCGTTGGCTGTCACTTGCAGCCTTTTTTCAAAGTGGGTAGGCCGCCAACATGGGAAACGAGCCAGCGTGCCCTAGATCCTTACTCAACGGTAGCATCTGGAGCTCCTAGTAGCAAAGTCTTCGTCTTGACAGGTACGTGGTTCCGACAACGCCGTCGCCCTTCCTACATTCGTCCTTTCCGCCACAGGTGGCCTCTACAGTACAAATCTATTCATAATTACAGAATGCCGGCATCGCCTCGATGCCTTCAGGTTCCCGACTTCAATGGATACGGTTATGGAATGCCGGAGATGGGCGGTTCGCTCTAAATACAGATCTGCTACATTTCCATTGGCGCTGGACTCTTTGTGGGCGGTTTCTGCTCAGGTCTCCCACCAGCTTATGACTGCGAGGCTCCAACATGTGCTGTCTCGTGGGAGCGTCCTCCCCAAAAGTCAGAAGAACAGGCCGACTACAATGCTGGGGCCACAGCTCTTGCACGGGCTCACTCGAAAACACTCCGACCCTCGTAAGAGTACCGTTTCTGCTGAGGAGGTGCAGGTAGCAGCTATGAATGCTGGATTCATGCAGGCCCCGTGTGTTTACAGGTTGCTTTGAGCGGATGTTTCACGGACCGTTGCGCGTGCCTAGCTTCGTTCTTGATACAGGGTATGCAGTTCCTGCCTCCGGAGATGTGCCCAGAGACGTACATGCAAGGGATGTAAGGGCCTCGGCATCGTGCGGAGCAGCACGTTGCCAGAGGCTTGCCACCTTCCCAGGTTCATGCCGTACTGGCAGCAGATGGGCATGGATGGGCAAATGCCTTGCATGGACGGGTCCTCCGAGCCGTGATTGCCTTCTGAAAGAGAGATGCGCCCTGAAAATATCGCCAGGCAAGCCGCGATGCCACCGGAGCTGCAGGAGCAGCTGCAAAAGGCCGCACAGATGCAGGAGTTTCAGCAGGAGCTTCGCACGAAGCATCAAAAGCAGACTGCTCCAACTGCGGTGCAGGAGCAGCTGACCCAGATGGAGGCGCCGATTGCCACAGAGGAGAGGGAGAGGGAGAGGGAGAGGGGGAGCGAGTGGAGCTTCTTCCAGGAGCTTGGGCCAGGGCCTGGGCCAGCGCAAGAGGAAGACGCGGCGGCGGGGGCGGTCGCGGCGACCGCGAAAGTCGCCACGCGTGAGGACGGGCCGGCACCACGGCCTCGCGCCGCGCGAGCTCGACGTTCACTGCCCCTGCAGGAGGCAGCTGTGCCTGCGACCAACGGCGAGAACCACCGTCCGAGCAATGACGATAGTAAATGGAAAGATTGGAAGGACAACTCGTGGCATGAATGGCAGGCTGGGTTGATTGTCAGCTCGGTATGCAGCCCGTGTCATCCCTCCACACTGGATACGAAGGAGAGCTCGAGGAAGAACGATTGGAAGGACAAGGACTGGAAAGACTATGCTTGGAAAGGCAACGATTGGAAAGACGATTGGCGGCGAGGGGAAGATGACGCATACTGGAAGGACGCATGCTTCATGTGAAAGTGGAATTGGCAGTTCCTTGTGTGCAAGCCAGCCGTGCAGGAGGCGTCCGATACTGGAAGCCGCCGAGGCAGCAAAGGTAAAAGCAAGGGCAAGGAGCAGAGGGGATGGGAGGACGGGTGACACGGCGATGCCACCCCGGCTTTGGACCCGCCTGGTGAACCGTGCAGACAGTGACCTGGTCTGCGGTCTGGTTGTGCAGGAAGAGAGGAGCAGCGCAAAGGACCCGGAGTGGGCAATTCCCTCAGCACCCGCACAGTAGACCGTGTCGCCGTGTTGTCTTGTGCTTTCTCAAGGCCGGGACCTGGAAGGAGGAGCCCAGACAAGGCCGGTGTATATCATACGACGTGCGCGGCATGCGGGTTTCCGAGCTGGCAGGTGCCGACCCCGCAACGAAAGAGAAGAAAATCCCTCCGATTCCTTACGCACTGGCCTCAGTTGAAGTGAGATGAACACATCATCTCTAGTATCCAACTGACAGGAGCGCCCGGAAGGAAATGAGCCAACCTCCCGGAACTTCGAAGAGGCAAGAGATCTCGAAGTCTCGAATCTCTACAATGCTAAGGCCGTACACGACGGTCATGCTCCGAAACATCCCGAACAAGTGGACCCCTCGAGTGGCCACCGGCTGCCCACGCTCTGGAATCACTGCTTCCCTCAGGTATACCAGAGAGATGCTCATTAAGCAGCTCAGCTTGGAATTCAACGGCGAGTGCGGGTCCCGGCTGGATGTAAGAGCCAAGCGCACGGGCCGGTGCTCCATCGCAGTAAAGCCCTTGCCTTGAGGTTTGACTTCATGTACCTCCCCATAGATTTCAAGAACAAGTGCAACGTGGGGCCCTGCCGGCAGCTTTCCGTACAGTACCACTTCTGGCATGGCGGCAAGTTCTTCCTCACCGTGCCAGATACGGGTTCATCAACTTCCGCACACAGGACTCATGCGAGAGGCAGGGATTCGAGGAACCAGGAGAGATGTCAATGTCCGGGTTTCTTGGCCAGGTTCATCGGCTTGTTTCACGGAGTGGACGTTCGGAAGTGCTTGCCGGGCCTGAACTCTAAGAAGGTCGTGGAGGCGGGAAGATGTGAGATGCTAGGATGCTGGTGCTGTGCGGAGATGCACGGAGCAGTAGCGGTTGAGCTCCGGGAAGGTCACGCCCGCTCGAGTGCAGGGGCTCTCTGAAAACGCCTTCGCCTCGTGTAAGTGACGTCTGCAAAATCTCTTACGTTCCAAATCGAGATGCAGAATCTTGGTCTGCAAAGGTTCGGCGATTGCGGAACAGCCCTGTCATGAACCAGCTGCAGGATCATCCAGAATGTGCTCCTGCTTGATTGTACCTCTAGCATCTCCTCGTCTAAAGCGGTCTACAGCCAGGGATGCCGCTGCTCTTCGACGAGAACGGTGTAGACGAGCCCTTTCCTCTTCCGGCCTCATGCTGAGCGGCTAGGCAAAGAGACGTGAAGAAGCTGCTTCTTGGCTCAGTAAGGACCAGCCACTTCCGCCAGTGAAGCCTCGGGGACGAAATCGCGAGGCAGTTGGGGACTTTGGTTTGGAGCTTGGGGGGATTCGTATGGGGATTCTTGGAGCTCTTGCCATGGTCAGGGTCAACGTGGCAAGGAAGGGGCGGATGTGTGTCCGAGCCCCTGGCTGCAGCGTTTGCTTGCAGTTCTTATGCATGCACTTCTTGAATTGAAAGGAGAGATCTTTGCTGGTGCGGAGCTGAAGTGCCATTGCAGTGTGGCAGTGCGTGTCAGTATCTTGTTCGATGGTTTCGGCTGGAATTCCGCAAAAGCGTGGCTGAATCAGCTGCTTTACGTTCGTCTGCAACCTGTCAATGTCAACAGCTGCAAATGTATGCATAGTAAAACTGCCGCAACACTTCGGGTGTGATTTTCGATTGCACACGTGTCTAATCCCGTGTACATGAATGGTGTGGGGCATCCCATCAGCCTGGATGCGGAGGAAAGCCGCAGATTGTCTGGCATGGCCAACGACACCTTGAGGGATGCTCTGCGCCACTTGGAAGGGTTCAACAGTGGGCAGCACGGCTGGACAAATCTTGGCAGTAACGGCGATGTCAAGCTTATTTCGCAGAACGTAACTGGAGCGAACCTGCCTATGTTTCTGGGACAGCTGACGGCAAGCTCAGCATGTAGCGTGGCCGACTTGACAGCTGTCATCCTGTCGGATGCATGCAGACGGTTCTGGGATCCGAGTTATTTGGCCAGTCATGTGCTTTGTACTTGCGGTGACAGCAGGTCAGCAGTTTTATGCACGGAGCAGAAGGGATCACCGATCAGTGCAGAGGCGCTCTGGACAAACGTTTGCACCGCGCGGCATGTTCGAAAAGAGCAGGGTGAGCGCATCACATACGCTGCTACATCAGTTCCCGCTGATTTCCGGAAACAACATCGAGAGACCTTGTCCACATGGGGTGTTGACAAGAAAGAGTTGATAACCAAGATTTGGGCGATGGATGTGCTGCGCACAAATGACCAGGTGCAGTTGTCCTTCCTGCTTCTAAGTGAGGCTTCCTCGTTTCATCTTCCGAACTTCATGCTCAAGCAAGTTCTGGCTTCCTGGCTTGGGGTTTGTGTGAACTCGGTTTGGAGAATGTCGACTTCGGGAATGACCCCTAAGGGGAGCATCTGCTTAGCTCCCGTCACAGATGAAGACACAGAAACGATTATGCTTGGATCACGGCAGCTGACGGTGTCTGGCCCTGTCATCATACAGCTGGCATCTGACAACGGGAGCGGATGATGTGTTGGCCCTCGTCTGCGTCGGAAACATGGGCGCAGCATGCTTGAGGGCTTGAGTGGTGCTGTTGAGCAGCATGGAGACATGGATGCAAGAGCAACCGTCATGCTTCATTGCATGCTCTTCAGGCTGCAAAGGTGAGCGCTTTTCAACAGCTTGCCCAAGTAGGCAGGATGCATGTGGAGTGCCCAGGGGTATGAAGCAGCGAACCGTTATGGCAGGAAAGCCCTCAAGTGCAGGGATCTGGCAACAAAGTCAATAATGTCCCTGAGCAGCATGCTGCTTGTGCAGCCGGCGCGTTTTCGTGAGGACTGCGGCATTGCAGCTGAGGTACGGAATGCGGCGGTCTACGAGTTGGTCTCCGTTCCTTTTCCATGACCAGCTCTTCACCTGCCCTGATCGTTAGAAGCGTTGGGGGCCGGCCAGGCAGTTGAGTTGAGGCAGACTCGAAGTATTCGGCTTGGTACATCTACCAGATCAGTGACTCCAAGATGATAGATAGGATTGGCTTTGGCACCTCAACTATCCCAACCAACTGCGCCAGTCGCTGAAATCCAGCCCTGCTTGGCTCAAGACCAAAACGGCATGGAATGGCGGCCATAAGAGCGCCCTCTCAGGTTCGGATTATTCGGGTGCGGAGGCACGTCCGTGATTGCGATTTGAGCGAAGTTTGTAGCGAGTGCGGAAGGGACGCGGTGGAAGTCTAGAGCAGAGCTCGAAGCTATCTTGCACACCGTGCATCCCTTTCGATCGCTAATCATGCATTTGCAGATAGATGGCTCACTTTTCAAGACAAAACGGCGGTAGCATGGGAGTGTCTCGCGAAGCCTTCGAAGAGATCCTCAGAGTGCGATTCTCGAGTGCGATTTTTGCTTGTTTTGCATTGTGCCAGCGACAGGGCATTAGGATGAAGCATCGCTGTGCGAAGCCACGACTGATCTCCGGCAAAAAGTCCATCAGGGCATAACAGCGATGCTACCCGCAGCACCATCCTAGAATCCAAGCGCCGTTCCAAGACGAAGCCATGGTGGTGGACGCGACACTACAGCTGTCCGACGAGGTTTCAATAAAAAGACATCAAGAAGCATGCAGTCCTATTCTACCTGAAGCAGCCGTCCAGGCTGCATGTGTGAGTGCACTGCAGGTCCGTGCTGCCTTGGCCGATGGGAGACCTGTGGTCGTACCCCGGCCTGTCCACACAAGGGATTGTCCATCGAATGCCTGACTTGACGGCCACGTTGAGTCATTAAAAAGACAACAAGAAACTGCAGGAGATGCGAGTGACTAGAGACTTGGAAAGTCCCGAATGGTGTCGCAATCATGAAGATGTTCGTTGCAACTATACAGGCAACAAGAACTTACTCGTGTCTTTTGGGTTATTGAGTCATATACCCGTCCCTTTCGAAGGCACTGGAGTCCACGATCATCTCGCATGGAATGCAGTCATCCCGGCACTGTTTGAAAGATTTAGCTAAGTCTCCCGGGCGTCGAGGCCATACCCTCAGAACCTGCAGACTGCAAAGGAAGTCGAGGTGCTGGCTGTCACTGCACTCGCAGCAGAGTTCTCGGATGTTCTCGGCAGGCGGTTTTGCGGGACCGGGGCGTGGTGCCAGCGACGATCGGCATATTGAAGGGACGCGTGCATGCCGTGTCCCCTGCCTCTCTTTGAGCATGTCATGAGTCATGGCTTTTGCCACAGCTTGAGGTTGGTATGGATCCTGGGCAACTTGAGGACAGCCCCTTGACGCAGCTTCCATCCATACGGATTTACTGACTCTTTCACCGCAGGCTCTGGCAAAGCTCGGCTTGGAATGCCGGAAGGTTTTTGGATAGCAATGGTAGGGTCCAGGCAGTCAGTGTTGCTCTCAGGTAAGTCGGAGAGACATCGCCGCCGTTCTGGCCAAGGGTCAGGAGACCAGCACAGCAGTTGATTGGGGTACATCCCCCTTCGACGCAGGATGGTGCAACCACGGTCTCCGCAACAATGATTTTCGCCGACAAGGATCGGGTGCGGTTCAGTCGCTTCATTCCCAGATTCTGGACAGTGAGACGATCAGCCGAGAGGCCGGAATACCGATTTTTGTCACCGGGGGGATCGGTGGAGTACATCGTGGGGCGGATGCTACCTGGGATGCCGGACACCAACTTTCTCTGGCAACCACGTTTGTGCGCCAATCCCTCGAGGTTTCAGCCGACCTTACAGAGCTTGGGCGTGAGCCATAGATAGCCACAGAACAACCTCTGACTTCCTTGGAGCTTGTTTCGCCAAACGAAGGCGGACCGCTGTTTGTGTTGTCTGCGCGGGTGCAAAAAGCATACTGGATCTTCCGAGGACCTGCTGTTGATTCGAAGCCTTCGAATGTCTCATGGTATAGTTGTCAGTGTGTTGCAGGACTCTCGAATTCCTGGAGACGTTCTGCCGACAAGTTTATGCGTGCAGCAACGGGAAGCGTCGTGCGTAGATTGGCAACGAGGCAAGGTGTTTGTGTCCTGCCCTCAGCAGATCTCAGGTGAAGGGCATCAGCTGCTAGCGCCTGAGGTGGCTGGGTACAGGACCAGTGACTTTCCGGCCTTCTTCACGCCGGTCACCGAGTGACGAGTCAGCGAGCTTTTGGGCGTCGGGGCCATTTGGGGGCGAGTCACGCGAGGCCACGGAGTGGCCTGGCAACTAGCTGCAGCAGCTGACCCAGTCTGCCATGCGGCTGGTCGCGGCTGGAAGGGTCATCAGCTCTTTGCCAACAATGTTAGCAACACATGTTCCAGCTGAGTTTTGTGACAAGACCTGATCACAGCTGCCCCACGCAAGGTGTTGATGGTCCAGAAGAGGCTCTCTTGCAGCAGTCGTGAAAAGGAGGTGTTCCCAGCTCGGCCAGTGTCGAGAGGCTGCAGAAGTCTTGGCACAGCAGCGGCAGGCCTGTCTTGGCTCCGCTCGACTCTGAAGTACGGGGCGGAGCAATGTCATCCCTGTTACTGTTTACCGAAAGACCACTGAGGGCATGGTGCTGGCCGTGCCGGTGCCTGAAAGCCTGGCTGCGGAGGGTGCCAGGGTGGAGGAGGCAACGAGGCACGGAGAGATGCGACGCAGGTCATGTCAGGAGGTTGTATCGGTGCTGCAACTACGAGCCTTTCATGTCCTAGCATAATAAGCCGCAGTTGCTTCAGATTGTCAGGCACCGCGTGCGTCTTGAGAACAAAAGTTTAATTATTACATTTGCAGGAGTGTCCTGAGGAGCGTTCGGCTGATGTCTTGGTGACCGCTTGAGCACTCTTGGCGGGCACTCGCACGCATCTGATGAGATCGCAAGCGATGGTGTAGTTCTTCGAAGATAAGTATGATCTGCTTGGAGAGGTCCATGTTGAGTCAGGGTGGCGACTGTGAGTGGATTCGATGCGATGGCTTCAGCAACTGGAAGACTGCACTGAACCAGCTGACAGGATCGTAGTTCTTGCAGGTGTCTAAACTCCGGAAACAGACAAGTAATCACGTCATAGGAGTTGCCTTCGTAGACTACTGGGAAGAGGTGTCAGAGCGAGTGCGGGTTCTGCCTGGGAGTGTGAACGCATCCAGTTGGCAATTGCGCGGCACCCGGTCTGGTCAATTGGATGTATCCAGGACTGCAGTGGAGGAGAGCACAAAGCTTGAAATCCGTGGGAACGAGGCTTGGTAGTGACAGCGGACAGCCCTCAACTGGAATGAAGTCTGACAGCAGGTCACACCCTTCTTACTCAAGCGCATCAACGAGCTCACGGGTGGGGAGCGCATACCTCAGGCCCTTAGGCTTGCGGCATTGTGAAGTCAATGTGCATCGTGAATCATCGGCCTGCTCCGCAACCGCGATCAGGTCGCTGCGCTCTAACATAGCTTTGATCAAGCACAATGCCGAGGCTCGGACAGAGGTGCTACTTTGCTTGAGAGTTGAATGGAATGTTGGGCATCCCTGCGAGTTACGCAGCAGCTTTGCCGCTGTTCGAGGTCGGAGCTGCTGTGGCGCTGGAGCTTGCGAAGCGAACGCGCCGTGCCTCCCGACTCTGAAGGAGGGATGCCAGTGCTCCTCTTTCGGAGAAAAAGCGCTCCGTTTTGGTTCGGACGTCTTGATTCGCAAACCGAACAGCACAAGCAGGTCACAGATACTCAGCGAAGCAAAGTGCGCTCAAGGAAACAGCAAGACGAGGTGACAGTCCGCCCGTAAGCTTAGCAGTTATGATGCTGGGCTGCCACACCCCCTCCCCACCCCACCCCATGGTATTCCCCCCCCTGTGCGGTGGGGCTTGGGGCTTGGCCCCTGTGGTTTCGTTGTTGTGGTGGACTCTGCACCCCCCTAAGCTGAGGCTTTGGTTGGCCTTGTTCGCAGTTGTGCCTGCTGCCGGTGATACTGCTCATGATGTTGTGCTGCTCTAGACGGCGACGCGAGTTGACAACCGGATCATCTTTGACATCATGCTGAACATCATCATTGTCGTCGTCAGCTTCATCATTAGTACCATCAGAAGAACAGCTGCCACCATCACCATCGCCATACAACCCTCATAATTAAGCATTGTAATTCATGTCTGGTGCGTAGATTGCTGCTTTCTGCACGGAGCAGGGGTTGGTTACCGTAGGGGTTGGGAGGAAGTGCAGCACCCCCAATCCGCGCAGCACCAGGGGCAGGGATGGGGCAATCTATGCGGACACTCGGTAGGGTGAGCACTGGGGGGGGGGGGGATACCAGAGGGGGGGGGGTGGTGGCCCGGGACCCGAGAGCAGGTATGCCTCTTTGATCGGAGGAATGCATTCGCGAGTCTTGACATGACATGCCGGGCTTTCGGATCGTAGACGGATGCAGGGGCCGTGATGCACATCGAATCGCGAAGATTCTCAGTCGCCATATCGTACAAGATGCTTGCGAGATAGTGGATGGCTCTTCGCGCTGTGGGGGCGGGCTGCGACTCTGTCGGGTCGTGGTGGGCACTTGCTTGAAAGGACCGCTGATTCGCCCGTGCAACCACGAGAAGACTTCGTTGTCCTGCCCTGCAGTCGCAGCATCGCACATGCCCTTTCAGCAATGCCTTCAACACAAAATCAAGCAATGCGACGGCGCGGATGAGCTGCCATGTAGGTATAAGGTGTACGCATGTCAGAAATCCATAGAGCCTGTCGTAGTTCGGTGCAGCTTTATTGCCCAAACAAAGGCAGTTGCAAATTTATCAGCGCCGAGCAGCATTGTCCGCAGCACAAGTTGTTCCAATGTGCATACAAAGAATGCAATCGCTTTCCACGTGCCACAATGCAGTTCCAATCTAACAGTAATATATATATATATAGCACATATCTTACCCGAAGTCTAAACTGCTGTTGCCTGCTCATGATAGGTCGCTAGGTCATGCAGCAGCTGAGCACGGAGCAGAAGAACATGTCTATGTTGGAGCTTGCAGAGCCCAGATTTGGTCTGCATGCCTGAGCACCACCAGACAAGGCATGTTTCGGAGCTCCTGCAGCAAAGCTCCACAGAGCTTTGCATCTTTTCTTAGGGCCATGCTGCCCGCTGCCGAAGGTATGGAGGGGAGCATGTCAATGCAATCTCTCTCGGCTCCGAAGGACGGTTTATGCTCAGATGTAGTTTGACGGAAGGCAACAAGTTCACAGAATCTGCCAGGAGGACTCGCAAGATGACACGGGTGAGAGCGTTGCAAACTCAGCTTCGACGTTTCGGGGGCGCGATCCTTGCAGCCAAGTCAGAAGCCAGCTTGGGCCGCAGCACGCGACAGCTGGTATAATGCCTTGACGGCTTAACGCCGGTGGGAGGTTCAAGGCCTCAAGATTCTTCATACTGCGCGAATGAAGATGTCGGCTTCAAGCATGGGTGAGAGGTGTGGCATTTGTGGCAACTCAGTCGCTCACTGGCCTTTCTGTCGGTCTTGGCAGTCGGGCTCGTTTGCTGATAGCTTTGGAAGCATGCGGCCAAGATTCGGGTTCACATCCGCGTGCGGCCGCCAACCGAGCGCGAGATTGCAGTTGGGAGTGCGCAGGCGCAGCCGCAGGGGCCGTAGGGCGGTTGATGGATCTTGCGCAGCTGATCTTCTGGCAGCTGCTAGCAGGCAGTCTTTGTGGACGGAAGCTCCGTCATCGTCAAGTCTGACCCGCCCAGGCCACCGAGTAAAGGACGAAGCTCACTTCAGTCTGAGCCGTCCGAGGAGCTTCGCGTTCGATGGTGTTCTTGGAGAGTCCTCCTCCCAGCAGGACCCACCGCCAGCAGACGCTTGGGAAAGCTTGGTTGATCTGTCGTTCTGTCGAGGACGTTTTCGAATCTCTGGGAAGGATGGTCGGACCCCCGGAATTTCACACGATCCTATTGTCTGTTGACCGGGGTCTAGAGGTTGGCTCCAGCTGCCTAGCCGGCTACAATGGGCAGGGAACCCGAAGATGCAGAAGAAGTGTGCAATCTCTTCGCCAAGTCATCTGTCGCTCCAGGAGTGTTTATGTTTACGGACAAACGGGGGCTGGCAAGACACATACAATGCGTCTCCCTTAGTTTTCAGCCCTGGTCGCAGCATCGCTCTAGCCCGAAGTGGGATTTGATGAGGTGTGGCCCAATAACATCTGTGCAGTCTATGCAGCTCGGGACTCAGCCGATTGTTTAAAGTTCCGGCAGGACTTGCCGGCTGCCAGCACCCAAGGTTCGACGAGCGCCGTGGCATCATCTGCCGAATGCTCGATTACGTGTTCTCTGAGGACGGTTTTGATTGCCGGGACTGGGCAGATGGAGTACTCGTACTGGTACTTCCGAAGTCCTTGTCTGAACATCTCTGAGCAGGTTGCAAGAAGAGGGACGGAAGACTCTGGGGTCGAGCATTCCTGCTTCACTCCCGGCAGAATTTGTTGGTCTCAAGCTTTATGCAGAGTCTTGTTGCCACCGACTGTCTTGAGGCAGGTGCTCTTTCCTCGAGATCTACAAGGAGCAACGTGTCTTCGTTTTTGCGTGTCCGTGTAAGCACTTCGTCTCCGGTCTCGCAGGAACAGGTCACAGACCTCCTGGCTGGCAGCTCATACTGCTTTCTGTCTCCGGTTCCTGTGGCCGAAACAGTCAGGGAGATAGAACGCCGAATAAAATAGCTGCAGGCCTTCAGGCCCGATCAGTAAGCGATTCTTACTTTGCTCGAAAGGACTTAACGCGAAGAGCCAAGCATGCGCTGTCTCAATACCAGTCGGTCGTCGCCTCCATGCGACGTTTTTGACACGCACGAAGCAGAACATACAGAACTGGAAGCAAGATACCGAACACAAGTGCAGCTGGCAAGACCAAGGAAAACCATTGATGCGGTAGAGTGGATGGGGGCCCCTGAAGTGTTGATGCTTGGCACTGCCCAGGAGCCGGCCAACACCAACTTGCAAGTGCGGGAGGACACACTCAAGCGAATACTGTTTCGAGTTCGCTGTCGCCAGCATAGTATACTTCCTGGCGAAAATGCAACAACTAGCCTCGGCTGAGCTTACGCACGAACCCATGGCGAGGACATGAACCGCGGGGTGTACGTGGAGAGGCTGAGTGAAGTCACTGTGGGTTCTCTGACAGAAGCCTTTCAGGCCAGGCACAAGGGCAGTCACTGTCCAAATAGACATCCGCTTTGCGCACGATCCGTCATCGAACAACCTCCAGGCGCTTTGGCGCGGGTTGCAGCAACGGCAAGTTGGTGCGGACCCAGGTCCAACAGGGAAACGGACTGCGCAGTCATGCTCCAGCAAGGCTCTACCCACATGAACGAGCGCAGCTCAAGGTCTCATGCGGTGGGCCACCTGACATATGTTGGCTTGCACTGAGATAGTGGCAGAGACTTCAGGTTTTCACGCTCTATGTCGAGGCAGGGGTCATTGTGTTGCTACAGGTCGTAGCATGATTTGCGCTTCATGCCTCGTTTTCACTTGCCTGCAGTACTGCAGCCGTAGGGCTGCAGCTTCATATGCAATATCAGTTACAGCGGATGTCAGGAAATTAGCGTATGCCCTCAGTCGGAGCCTTCTTTGAAGTTGCAAGCTGTTGAGCACGTTTAGACTGGGAAAGTCTGCCACCTGTCGGCGGGCCATGGCAAGAAAACAGAATCTTGCCAAGAAGTTTCGTGTCTGCAGAGTCGATCCCCACTGATTCTACCATGCAGCCAGCCCAGGCAATGTTCCTTCAGAGCTGCTGTGGCATCCTGCAGGATGACCCTCTGCAGCATGAGCTACGCTGATTTGAAAATTCCACGATCCTGTGAGCCTCGTCGGGCATCTAACAATTGCACGAGATATGGCCTTGAGACAAGGGGCGCCGCAGCCACCGTGCACCACTCTCTGGACGGCTGACAGGACCCAGATGCAAAAGTCTACGTATGTTTTGACTTTCGTGGTGTCCTTGTACCATTTGCTAAAGTAACACGCAAGAGCAAGAACCCAGATATTTGGACAGCCGACAACCACACAGTTCAAGAGCAAGTGCTGGCAGGACGCGGTGGCAAGCGTTCAGGCCCAGCACCTATTCGAGCCTGTCGCAGGTTGAAGTGCGAGCTGCTATCGTGAGGATCAAAACACGCAAACATGTTCCGTTCCTCGACGGTCGGACCGTAGGATGGTCGGTTCGCATCCGAGGCGACGACCAGCGCGGCTCGGAAAGGCGCTTCTCCACGGAGAGCAAGGCAGCCCGGCAGACAGCGTCAGAGCTCGGTAGCGGCGGCAGAAGGGAGGATTTCGGGTACGTGCAACGTGCTTCGTGTCCTGGCCATTGCGAAGCATTGGCCTTGCTGTCATTGCCGATGGTGTCTGACTGCAAAGTTTCGGTTCGCACGTACCGCGTAGGGTCTCGAGCCGGCCCGCCATGATATCAGTCCTGTGCGCCCTGTTGCTTTTGCTTTCCCTTTCCCCTTTGTACAGCTGGGCGAACGAGTCTTTGGCAGCTTTGTCGAGTGACGATGAGTGTGCATCACTCCAGGAAAAAAACTGCTCCATTTCCGTTCGTCAGCTTCGAGGTAATCGCCTTCTGCAGAAATCTGGCGTGCTGAGATGGAAGAACCACCCATCAAAATGTCTCGATGTCCGTTTTGGCCAAGCCAAGAACGGTAACACCTTGCAGCTCTGGGACTGCAATACGGCATCGTCGAACCAGCAGTTTTCATGGAGCAGCCAGGATGGAAAGCTGCGGTGGGCGACGAATCCCACATATTGTGTGGATGTCAGAGACCATAGGAATGCAAACGGCAATCGGTTGCAGCTATGGGAGTGTATCAGGTCCAACTCTGATCAATCTTTCTCTGTTCCAGCATCCGGTGATGGTCACATCCAGTGGTCAAACCATCCAGACAAGTGCTTAGATGTCCAAGACCATGGTGATTGGAATGGCAACGTCTTTCAGATCTGGTCTTGTGGAGCAAGCAACAGCGACCAGCAGTTCATATTTGGGGGCTCAGAATCGCTTTTGCCTACCGTTCAACCTGAGCAAGAGCATCCAGGAGAAGACTTTGATGTAATCGTCGTCGGCGGCGGTCTAATGGGATCAGCCGTTGCAGCTCGGCTGGCAGCCAAACTCTCAGGTTTTCGGGTGGCATTGTTGGAGGCTGGACGAGCGTCACATGCCAGTTTGGGCGGCAAAGAGCCTCCGGCATCTTGGGATCCCGCTCAGCGTCGCTGGATTAACTGGGGAGATAATGGAGGCTTACAGGTGACTCGTTACGATTTGCCTGGCAACTATGAGGCCCTGCAGTGCTGGGACAGACGTTGCCCGGAGTCCTGGTTGACGGACGTGCCGTATTTCCAGTGCAAGGTGCTTGGTGGCTGCGGGGTGATGAACGGTGCCCTGGTTCAGAGGCCAAATGCTGCAACATGGCCGCGTAGGCAAGTGTCCTTCATACTACCGGGCAGTTTGCGTGGTGGTTCACCTAAACTACGCCTAGAGTGCACCAGCAAGGGTAAAAGCGGTTTGAGATACTTGTAACTTGCAAAGTTGATTCTCTGCATGTCTCGCCGAGGAGGGTCGCACCCATACAGACTGCAGAACCCATTTCGTGTGTCTGTAAGGCGAATATGGAGACTTGGCCTTCTGGCTGGAGAATGCCGGATCTGGAGCCCTACTATAAAGAAGCTGAAGCACTGTTCCACATCACAGAGACGCCAAGCCGAGATGGTCGGCACTATCTGGACAACACAGGCGCAGGTTTTGCTCGCAGGGCCCTGGAAAAAGCAGGTTTTGTGCAATCAGGCGATCTGACCAAGAGGGCTGGCTCACTCTGCATCCCGGCCGTCACAGCGAAGGATGGGCTGCGCCAGTCAACTGCCTCGCAGCTCTTGCCCGAGGCTCTCGGACGAGAGAATTTTGAACTGCATCTTGAAACACACGTTATGGAGGTCCTGCATGAAGCGGGTGTCGTCAGTGGAGTCCGAGTGAGATCCGAAGGCCGTTCCAAGGTGCTTCGCCTTCGGCCCAACGGTCTTCTGGTCCTTTCTGCAGGAGCCTTGAACACCCCGCGGCTCTTGCTTTCCAGCGGGCTTGGATCACAGAGCCTCGGAGAGGATCTTTCGGACCATACCTTGGTCTCTTTGAAGTACCGTGTGCGGCATCGGTCAGCTCTTGGAGCCAACGAGAGCTTCGGCATAAAGCCACCCAGGCCGAGCGCAGTGTGGCAGTATGCTCAGACGAGATCCGGGCCTTTGGCACAGTATGGCCCCGTGCTGACGGCATTTTTGCGTGATCCATCAACTGCTGGTCCTGCAGATGCGTACGACATCGAGATATGGGTCAACCCCATCAGTCCACCAGGCGAGGTGCACGTAAGTCTGGCGCTGATGCGCCCAACTTGTTCCCGAGCCACCGCCCACGTGGCCGGCAGTCAGCTGCAGCTGCGCGGCCAGCTCTATTTAGGTTGTGACAGAGACAGGCGGACCATGGCCTTTGCGCTTGAACATGTTGACAAGTGGCTTGGAGCGGAGGGTGCGCGACGCTTTGACGGCCAGTCTCCACCAGAAGCCTTGAACCATTTTGGGGGCAGTTGTGCCTTGGGACGCTGTGTGGACCCGGAGACCCTCAGGCTCAAGGGAACTACGAATCTGGCCGTGGCAGATGCCTCCCTATTGCCAGGGCAAGTCTGGGGCCATCCGTTTATGACTCTGTCTGCCATGGCTCTGAAAGCAGCAGATCATCTCGCAAACTCTTTTGTGTAAGTTTTGGTTTGGGGGCTTGAAACTTGACAGCCTCATTAAATTTATAGATGTTTATGGTGCTGCCAAAGAGCAAGTGAAGGTAAGGTCAGACCCCGTCTGACAAGACACTGATGTAAAGAGCTGCACAAGCACACAAGCATCTGTGTACAGTAGTATGGTCTGTGTGAGTGTGCAGAGAGGACTTTACAGCAGGCACAGCTTGGTAGAAATTGCAGATAAAGTTTAGCTATGGCTATGGTTCCTTTTTACATCCAGGCTAGAGTTGTCGAGCAGTATACCGTGTGCCCCGAAAGGATCCAGCTGGGCGCGCGCAGGATGCCTCAGGCGATGTGGTGTTGCAGTAGCTTCGCAGCACCCTGGCAGATTTTTTGATCGAGGCTATCCGTCTCAACCGCTGCTGGGTGAGTCCAATCCTCAGTCGACACAGAAAGTCAAGCAAGCGTGTGGCCTTCAAGCAAGCCACGTCGTCTATGGGCAGGAATGGGAGTGCAGAGACCTCATGGTTGAACCAAGTTTCCAATCAGGTCACAGAGGCCAGGTGGCCAGGCTATGCCAGGCTATGCCAGGGTTTGAGGCTGAGGCTTAGGTTCTTGGCAGGCCTGGGGCATCTACGGCGATGCCGACTTGATGCCTTACCGGAAGAAGATCTTGCAAAAGAGCCCGTGGAAGCCTTAGAGGCTTAGAGGTCTTTATACTAGCAGCTAGCATTGCTCTATATTGCTCTCGAGCTTTGTGTCCGAGGTCCATGGTCGCGACGGGCCAGCGCGGGGCCGTCCGAGCGGCGGAGGAGAGAGCGGTTGTGGGAAGCGTGAGTGGAGCACAGAATTCTCGCAGCTTTCGGAAGCTCCCGAAGAGGAGAGCCTCAGCACCGGAGATCAGCCACCAGCAGCTGAGCCCGGGGAGGAGCTCGTGACAGAGGCCCTGCACCACAGGGCACGGGGGATCAGGCACATTCTGTTGTTCAGAGTCTGCATTTAACAGGAGAACATCATGCTCTCCCTTCGAGTTGTTCGTGGCAAGGCTGGCTCTAGCATACCGCTATGGAGAGTTGTAACACGCGAGACGTGAATCGAGTGTGCATGTGTTTACATTCTGCCACTGCAGGAGTGGCAACATGGAGCCTCGGCAGCATTTGCTTCGTTGATGTAGCAAGCTTCCTAGATTTCCTAGCTTGCGGAGGCTCCCACCGGAAGAATACGCCGTTATGGTCAGGGCGATATTCAGCTTCGAGCGATCGTTGGGGCAAATTTGGTTGGCTTCTTGTTCGGTGGACGGGGGGTGGGTGCGAAACTTTGTACACTGGTCATTCGAGCCCGATTCGTGTCGAAGGCAGTAACTACCATTTTCGGCCAGCGACGGTGCTGCTACGAATTGCCTCGTCTGCAGGTTTCGTCAACATCAACACCAACGTGCCCACTCGCGCAAACACCCACAGCTCTGCCATCAATGGCAAGAAGAACGGAGTGCCACCGAAGAAGATTTACCGACACGGACCAAGGAAAGATCTAAACCGGGCATCAACGGACCGGAACATACGGACGGTTACTCTAATAGTTCCAAAACCCAAACCAGAACCAACCAGCTGACCCTTTGACCCCACCCCACTCCGGCGCCTGTCACCCAGAGAGCAGACTTTCTGTGTGGCCGCTTCGAACCATTGCTAGACTGTTCCAGCATGGCGCAACTCAAATCATGAATAGGATATCTGGAGCAGCTGAAGCTGAACATACTGCCAGCCAGAAACGACGTCGAAGAAAAAGTTGATGGGACCGTCACCTGCAACACCGAGCAGGAAGCAAGTCTCAGATCTACAGGTCTCCAATCACAGGTTCAACCAACGGGGCTTTCTGTATGTGAGGGGTGGAGCAACACACGAGCGCGTCTTTTGGGTTCCAGTGAAGCCTCGCGAGGGATGCCAGGTCTCCCACAGCTGCACAAGCTGTCCAAGTATATCCAGGTGTGAAGAGGAGAGGAATGACGCTGCGTTCTTTCTGCAGTTCAGGTGATGAGGACGGCGGTCCAGGATTTGTGGGCATAGTCCTGTCCTTCGACACCAAACGATTGACGGCACAGGCCAGAAGCTGCCAAAGCATTGCAAGTGGGGTTGTTCACCCTGGAACAGGTGCTTTGGGAGCGGACGTGCCACGCGCACTCGCACTACCGCTACGGCACACGTGCCTTATCCCTGAATTCAATGTGAGAGCAGCCTTCTACATGCGGGATCATGCGGGGATGTGTTACTTTGTCCTTCCGCCCTCCAAGCAATTCAGACTCAAATGCCCCGAGGCTATGGCAAGGCTTGGAGCTGTGCGATGCTGCATCGTATATTCGTTTTGTCGCACAGACGAGACTACCTAAGCCTGATCGGACAGAGACACAGAGAATCTCAGCGCAGAGGCCAGCGACCTCGCCGTCTTTAAGCCTGCACTGGGCGTCACCCCGAGCCTGGGCAGGCGGAACTCACAGGACATGCTCTGCTTGCTTCAGGGACTTCGAAGCAGAGATGCTGTTGCTACTTTCTGCGCACTGCATGACCCGGGACTCCTCTGTACACAGTGCAGGAGTTCTTTGCGACAAAGTTCCAGACGATGATTGTGCTCGACTGGGATGACTCGCTGCTGGGCCGCAAAGTTGTGCAGCCTGTCCAAGATGGCGTCAGTAGCTTCCAAGTCCAAGGCTCTTCCCCACCTCCTACCTGAGAGACGAGCTACGTCTTTCCTGGATGAAAGCATGGAAAGATCAAAATCTTCCTGCGAGCCTTGCCCGACCCAGATCATTGCGGTGCATTGTTCATACAGCAAAAAATGGCCGTGACTCCTTGCCCGTTCTTTCTCAGGAAGCTGAAAGATGAGGTGGCTTCCAAATTGGCGATCTGCCAAACCAAGGCGGGAAAGAATCTCACGTTTGTTTCGTCATGTCTCTCTCTCTCTCTCTCTCTCCGTGTCTCTCTCTTCGTGTCTCTCTCTTCGTGTCTCTCTCTCTCTTTCTCCGTGTCTCTCTCTCTCTCTCTCTCCATGCCTCTCTCTCTCTCTACCCCCGTCCCTCTCGCACGCTCTCGCTCTCGCTCTCGCTCTCTCTCGCCCGTCTTGAACGGAACAGAAGCAAGTGAAGACATCTCCGAATTTGCACGAAATCAGAACTTAGAAACACACCCTGTTGCAGTCATATTGTGTTGGTTCACATGGCTGGGAAACTCCAGGTGGTGGATCTGCTGAAGCAAGCGACGGACGCTGGCAAGGCCGGCTCACGATAGGCCCTCCGTCGCCTGCTCCACTGAGCACTCTGATCCGGTATCATTGCTGCCACGATGGTGGCACTAGTAACAGATTCGGCTTCCCTACTTGTTTTGGAGCTCCACCACAAAAGGTGTCAGTACAGAGACATGTTCTTACAACGCTGACCTCGGACCTCCCATGACTTCTTTTCTTTCATTGCTTGTGCCGATTGGTTGCAAGCAGCTGCCACAGGTGATCCTTGTGACTCTGGCGCGGAAGCCGTGGGTGCTTGACTCCTGCAGGCCCGCGTTTGAATGACGAAGGTTTTTGGTCTTGTGAGCAAATTGATACTTGCAAGGAACTTCTTCCCCACCGTGGGGCAGGCCATAACGGAGCTCAACGTTCCTTTGCTGAGATGCGCAGAGACATGGCCGGACATTGTGCGCGAAGCAGTTTCGAACCGGTTTCTCATGCTCAGGTGCCAGTGATCTACGCCCAAGACGGAGCTGGTGTGGATTATAATAAGGCTTTGTGACTCTGCGACCTTGATCCGCCTTGTCCAGACCGCACCAGCCCTAGGTTCACATGTCCTCCAATGCGGAGCTCGAAAGGTTCTGGAGTGGCATGAAAGCACGGGCCATTGCGAGGCCTTTTGCCTTGCGCTTTGTGCTCCCTTGAGCACTTCTCTCGGCAGGGAGTGTCGGGAATTCTACTCGCAGTACGACGGTCAGAGCTGGAAGAATGTCATCTCCATCGGCGGCTTGGCTGTGGCGGCTTCCAGTCGAAGGGACGCTTGTTGGTGTTGAGGTGATTCTGATTTCGAACGCTTGGGCACGATGCTTGCGACGAAGGCCCGGCACGGCTGAGCGCTGAAGCATTTTCACACCTCTCCATGTTCGCTTTCACTGCACTGCTGGCTGCACATCAGGACTACATGGATCAGACCGGCATCCAACGTGCCGACAACAGTGACAACTGTGCGGTGGCAGCCCGGCCGTGATTCATGTGGCTATCGAAGATCGCTCCAGCCATGGAACAAAGATTATGGGAAGCGCTTCTTGACGTGTTGGGTGACACCGAACATCGCACTTTTGCATGAGATTCCCCCAAACACACATGTCTGAAGAGGGAGGGTGCAGTGTCTCCGGAAAATGTGTCTTTCCGGCAAAGGCAGTCGGGTAGTCTCGACTGCCCGACTGCAGAGCCAATCGAACGGAGAGCCTGTGATACGGAACCCATTGCACTCGAGCAAAGGCTTGCTTGCAGTTGCCGCAACCACTCTCAGGTTGACGATCACGTCTACAAGGTGCGCACGCATCTTGAAGCAAGTCAGGATGGAGACAACGGTTCGTGCTACGGGTCCAGTTTTAGGTGCTCAGCGAAGCAATCTGCGAGATGTTGCCGAGGAAGACACTGAAGATGGTGGATCAACCCTCCATTGACGAGCTGAACACTCAGCTGGGCCTTTTGCGCACCTGGCTGCCCTTGATGGCATAGGGCTCAGAAGGACACGATGTGGCCAAGTTGCTAAGGGCTGAACTCACCCCCCCGCCAAGCCAATGTCCATGCCCAGATCAAGCTGGACAGTGACTTTGATCTCAACTTGAACAATGCAGCTGATCCGTCCGCCGTATCCTGAGTCCTGCGTGCAGTGTCCGCTGAATCTGCCTAATGTGCCTGTCGGTAGAGTGTCCTTCTCTAAGACTTTGAAGCACATCACGACAACTCTGTGCGGAACTCATTAACCTCAGCAGGCTTGGGGCGACCTGAAACTCTTTGTACCACAAGTCCGTGCAGAAAAGACAACATGGCAGGTGTGGCACGGAAAGCAGCGTCGCCTGCAGCCTGTACACAGATGCACGGACTCATTCCAAGACTTCCGGAGGTTTTTGTGGAAGCTCGAAGTGGTATATTCGTTTGGAATGAGCCAATATTTTCGGAGCCAAACTCCCGACTTGCAGATGGTCCTTCAAAAGGCAGCCTGCACGTTTCACCTCTAGGCAGTGTCACGTCGTTGACACTCTGCATAGTCTGGGGCCGAGCCCTGATGTTTAGTGACTTGTCGCAATTGCACACTTCCCAAAAATCTGTCAGAACGGTAAAGGCAGCGAGGGACAGCTCGAACTCGCCGGCAGGCAGCACGCACACGGGCGGGGGTCACCTCCACACGTGCCAATCGCTCAGATCTGATCGGATCCTCGGGGCCTGACAGCCGGACCATCCCTTTTCAGGTAGCAAGCTTGAGCATGGTGGATCTGGCAGGTTCGGAACGTCAGCAGGCCCGTGAATCCACCGACATGTCTCTCCTTGTCTATCCCACAGCCGACAGCACATCGTCCTGGCACTTTCTGGCCCTTTCCTGTGACAGTGACGAGGAGTTGCCGAAGATTTAGGCAGTCTATCAGTCATGTCAAATATCCTCTGGCCGAGGCTGCTGGGTACTAGTAGCTCCAGCTTTGGGTGATGCATGCTGCAAATTCCGCTTAGCGCACCCTGTGTGCAGCATCTTGGTGACCCTGGGACGAGCACGGTCCAGCCATACGCCTCCCGCTGAGAAAAAGCTAAGTAATACCAGGATGTGGACTTTGCAAAGTTCGTGCGTGTGCACGCTTAGGAAGCTTTGCGGGTCAGAGAAGCCGGTGCCATCAACAAGAGTCCTACACCTATTCGTAGCGGGGGGTTCGTGCGCGAGCCGTACTTTCGACGGATGACTACTTCTCCAAGTCTTCGGGGCACTCAAGTTGTCAGGTCTGAGCGCGCTGACAAACGTGATCATGTCATTGTCCAGGGAGGAGAGGCTGCTCCCACTGTAATGCACGGTTTTGCACCTTGAGGGAACTCGCAGATTAGCCTATAGTCGATCAGCCCGCAGTTTTGCAGTTCGGCGCAAGATTCGCAAGCGTCCTTGAGCGTTTCGTGTCGCAGGTCGCGTAAACGAAGTGGCGACGGCCGGCGTGCTGGGCCGAGTCTTTCCGTCAATTGGAGAATGGCCTCCGGAAGCCAACCTTGAGGAAGCAACTATGTCCATTACAGAGACAGCAAGCTGCCCCTCCGGCCAACTTCCGTGCTTGCATGCTGCAGACATTAGCGACTCAAATGCCGAGATGTCAGGACTTTTCTTCTGCGCGATTCTTTGGGCGGAAATTCGAAGACGGCACGACACTTGGAGTGGAGTGGAGCAGGTGACTGGTGAAGCGAAAGGTTCATTGCGACAGCGAGGGGAGTCGTCCGTGCCACTCGCACCACTCGCGCCACTCGCCGCTCGGCACGGGGCGAGTGCAGGTAGTGGAACAAGCGGAACAGGTGGGGCGCGGGGCGAGTGGAACGAGTGGAGTCGGTGGCACGAGAGGGATGACTGGAACGGTCCAAACACTTGGAGCGAGTGGGACGAATAAAGCAAACCGATTACCCCCAACGCCGACACTCTCGAAAGGTTCTCGTCGCAAACGTCTCGCCTTCGCAGCTGTGCCTCTCCGAAACCTTGTCCACGTGCCTTGGCCGAGAATTGTCATGTAGATCGACAAATGGCAGTCCCGCTTCGAGCTGCCTGGCTTGGCCAGGTTGAAATTTGCGGCGCGTGCAAAGCACATTCGCTGCACCGTGGTCCGAAACGAGGCGATCTCCTCCATTTTGGCCAGTTGCTGTCGCAGTCCAAACAGCTTGAGATAGCTGGAGGCTTTTAGCGGCACAGTGGAAAGCCTGATGGAAGAGGCCGCCTCGTGCACGAATCCTGGAGTGTGGGACATGCCGTGAAAGCGCAAGGGGAGCTGACCGCAGGTGCAGATACTGCGGAACAAGTTAGCTCAGCTGAGTGGCGCGGGTCCACGCGAGAGCGAAAGAGGGCCCGAGACGGAGGAGATAAGCGGGATACCTGAAGTAAGGCCGGAGCTTTGACAGAACGCCTGTTCAGTCGCAGTCTGGAGCTGGGTGGTGAGCGGAGATGAAGCCGAGAGGGGTTCTAGTTTTGGGGTCGAAGCGCTGAGGCTCATGTCGCCGGGGAGCATCTCTGAGGGTGTCGAGGTGCGGGAAGCTCGTACGCGACGCCGGGCTGGCCAATGCAAACAAGGATGAGCCTGAAGCAGAAGACGTGGGTTTCCGAGATGCAGCGAACAACGACCTCGAGGTGCTTTGTTCCCTTTGAAGGTGCCTTTGGAAGTAGCTTCCTCCGAGCTCCAGAGGAGCAGAGCCTCAGCGACCGGCAGCGGATCGCTCGCTTGGAGGCCCCCCCCCCCCCCCCCCCGGCGGGCCCCGGACGATCGCGCTCCGCGCTGTTCGTGCTCCGCTTCGCAAGATCGAGGTGCTGCTCTCGGCGGCCTTGGAGCGCGAGGCCTCGGCGGAGCAGCGGCGCTTTCGCCTCAAACGCCTGGCCAACTTCCTCGAGGACTCCGCGGGACTCCGCTTTGCTCTCTCTGCCGCCGTCGTGCTTTCTCTTTGCCCCTCCGTCGCCTTCCCGTCCCCCGTCAGGACTTGGATTTCCGCAAGTGCCACCGATTGTACGAGACTTAGGAGACAGACAAATCCCATCTCCTCGTTCTTGCCCGTGTCTGCTCCTGAGGCGCAAGCTGCATGCGGAGTATGTCTCTCAACTGGCCCCACAGGTGGAGGCTTGCTTCGCTTCATGAGATGTCATGGACTTTATATTATGGACTTATAGAGCACAATTTCTGGAAAATCGCCGGGGCGATCAAGCTTGAAGCAGGGTTCGGCCATTGCAGACGACATGGAAGTCCGGGAGTTATCTGCGAAACTGAAGAGCCCACGCCTCGACAGCCTTTGCATGGACTCTCCGCTGGCGGTTGCTGTGGTCTGCCGAGGCTTCGGCCACCTTCTGGGAAACCTCACGCGAGGCAGAGGGATGTAGAGGGTAGAACGCTGAGGCCCAGGCCAGGCTCGGGTGCTCGGGGAGCCAGGTGCTCGACTGGAGGATGGGGCAAGATCCTCGAAGTTCTGATGCACACGCCGCTCCACAGCGCACATCGCCCCATCGCACCTTTGAGGACTACGGCTACGGTGCCGGAATGGACTCGGATGCACAGTCTACAGTCGCTCCGCATGAAAGTGCATAAGCGGACAGCCGGAGTTCGGGATCTGTCAGTAAGCACAAGGGGTTTGTCACCGGTCGCAGAACCGGGACCCTGTCATTCCAGGGTGGGGTGGGTGGGTTGCCACCCCGCCCTCGCTGTTCAGAACTTTCCCTCACACCACCCCCCAACCAAAGGTAATGCCGATAGCAATAGTAGTTGTAAAAGTAAGAGCATGAGCAAGAGCAAGTGTAAGAGCAAGAGCAATAGCAAGAGATAGCGAAAGTAGGAGCAAGAGTGAACGTAAGCATAAGAGTAAGAGCCAGAGGAAGCGTAAGCATCAGCGTGAGCGTATGCATAAGCGTAAGCGTAAGAGTAAGAGTCATAGTAGTTACAGTAGTATTGGCAGTCATAGTCATAGCCATGGTCAAACAGTCTTACATAGCGTAATAATTGCAATAGCACTGGTACTAGGAATATTGCTGGAAAGCAATAGGAATACGAATTCGATGGTATTAGTTTTAATACCAGAGACAGATAAGCTTGGTACACAGCGTGCAGAGCTTGAGAGGGTCTCTCGTCTATGGTTCACATCTGTGACATGGCCGTGCACCGGAATGTTGGCATCTCAAGCATGGTTTGCATCGCCATTATCCACGGGCCTGGACAACCGGTCCATCTACACAACCCTCCCTGGACGGCCGCAAGTAACAACTAAGGAAGCCTCGTCTGGCACGTTCGAGGCTCGGAAAGGCACTGATGTCATTCCTCAGCCTTTGCCGATACCCGCCTCAATACTGCACTGGCTTGCTGGATACGCGTCCTGCGTGCTACGATCGAGTGCTGCTGGCTCAAATGCCTGCCGGGCACCTCAAGCGTGTAAGTTGATCTGCTGAATCCAGCGAGAAAGTTCACAAGTCCGCGCTCTTCGGCTGCTTTGAGATTCTTTTCGGGCAGGATCTTTCAACCCACCAACTGCCGTCTTGCTTGTTTCAGTCGTCGGGCTTGGAGCCTTGTCACTCACACCATGTACTGAGGACTCTAGGTGTTGAAGAAATATGCTTTGAAGGCCCTGCAGACCCTGCGGAAGCATCTGAACTGCTAGACAGGCATTGCGATGGCGAAGGCGAAGATGATGCTTGCGATTCTGCTTGGGCTGGCTGAATGGGCAACTTGCTCGGCTTGATCACTTTGTACCAGTGCTTTGCCTAGCAAGGGGGGGCGCTGACATGAACTCAGGCATGGCTGAATGCAGGAATGCGACCAGCCACTTGGCTGTGTGTCTATCAGAGTTGTCCGCAGGTCAGGTCATGTTTCTGTGATCACTGAGACCATTTCATTTCGAGTCTCTGACGAGCCACAGCTGGCGACCTGGCTCCAGGAAACCACGAAGGATCTGCTTGTGCGCGCGCTGTAACGGACCGCCTTTGTTGCGGCCGCTTGTGGTGCAGTCGGCAGGACTGCAGCGCAGCTGTGGACTTGGTCTTCTTGCTAGACGGTAGCTACAGCGCAACTTGGCAAATGGTTTGAGAGCATGGCATAGCATGGCGCAGCAGACTTCACGCCCCTTTTACGCGGCTTTTTCCACAGTGCAACAGGTGAGCGATGCAGAATGGAAAGACCTGAAGGAGTTCGTCTCGCACACCGTCGCTTGCTTAAACCGCCTATGCAGGTCCCGGTTGTGTGACCATCCTTTTCGCGACCTGGATTCGTGACCCAGTACAGTGGGCACGGCCAACGTTAAGAAAGAGGCGCATCAGCATTCGAAACTGAGAAGTGTCTGAAACGAGCATGCCGGCGCGTTGCGTCCGGGCACTGTAGGTAGCCCCAACAATAGGAGTATGGATACACTGGCAGCAGCCGAGGTCGCTCGGTTCAACATTGGAGCTGACGAGATGCATGTGGGCTTCGTGCAATACACCCACGATGCCCGCATCGCTTCTTGGCGGATACATTCAGACTTGACCTCTGGAGCAAGATGGACCAAGATTCTGAAGACGGCTGAGGAGATGAGCTTCAAGAGCACCCCGACGGAGGTGGCGCAGGGACTGGTAAGCCTCGACCAGAAAGGTGGCAACACGAATCTCTCCGTGGCTCGGCGCAAATTTATCCGGAACGTTCATGTGTTATGAGTCCTGGCAATCTGTCCCAGGATGGACTTGTAAAGTCCAGAGAGCTGTTCTTGGAGCAACACCGCAAGGCGTGTTGATGAGCAAGAAAACTGTTATGACTTGAAGGAGTAGTGCCTAGATCCCCTTCGGAGCGACGACTTGAACTGTGACGGCTAGAGTACCAGCAGCCATGTTGGCATGCCTCCGTGTGTGACGTCGCTCTGCCAGGCCAGCCGCTTTCTCGTCATCGTTTCGGATGGCGATGTTGACTTCGAAGCTCCGGAAAAAGCGCGAAATATGGAGCATGACGACTCGGTCATCATATTCAGTGACTTGCCTGATCTCAGGAAGTGTAACCGCCGAAAGCCAAGACAACTGATTCCGACATCGGTGCCAGGTGTGGCCGTTGGTGCAGATGCGGACGTCCGTGATCTAAAGGGCATCGCAACAAGCCCACAGCTTTTCTTCCAGGCACCGGACGTGCGACCTCAACTCAGGGTGTGCTGGTTTACTGTCATGGATCGTGGGTAGCCAGACTTTAAAACTTTGCATTTGCGGTACTCAAGCCGCTTCCAGATGACGTCTTGCTTGATAGGTGAGGCAGCAAAGGTAGTTCGGGAGTAACACAGGTTTCCCAGTACGACATCCTGGACAAGATTGTCCAGACTATCTCCAAAGACGGATGCAACATCGCAGAAGAGGCCTTCTGGAAGCCAGTGTTCGTTTACCACGACGTGATCGCCAGAGTTGCTGCCTGGCAGGTGGCCGCAAACTCCGGTGTTAAAGTCAGGGACATCAACTTTAAGGCCCTGCTGGGCAAAGAGGCGGGACGTTGGGTGTGTGCGCAATGCTCAGCCGCACAGTTCAGCTGGCTTCTCAGGGTTACAGTTTGATGTGACGACACAAAAGCCGTGTGGGAATGCAGACCTGGAGTTAGAGTCTCAAAGCTGTTGACTGCAAGGAGAACCCCAACATCACGGTTGCGTCCGAGGCCGCACAGACAGCAGTCATGAAGAGTCTTCTGGGGGCAAGATGACGAAGACAATCAGTAGTTGTTCCACGTCCACTGGCCTGTGATCAAGTGCTAGTTCTCGAGCTTCGCTCCGTCCCTCCCTCGCTCTCAACGTCTCCCTCTCTCTACAGCCTGTGTCCAGGATGCTGCCGAGATGGTTGGCTCGAGCAAGGCCGGTGCTCAGCCCGTGGCTGGCGGCTGTCCGCGGAAGCCTTGGTATGCAGGAGCTCGGTGCTGCTGGCAACGCCTTTCATGATGAGTGGACGGAGGACATGGAGGACGAGGAGGCCTTGCCAGCGTTGCACACTGTAAACCTGCAGGAAGCCGGCAAGCTCGTCCCTTGTGTCATTCATACAGGAAGAAGCTGAGCCAAAGAGACGCATTCGCAAACTGGCACGGCCTCCTCGTAAAGTGCCCGAGGACCGCACCCCAGGTTAGACTTCTGAGCGAAATGGCCTTGAGTCCAAACCAGGAGACCGCCCGGCCCAGCGGCCCACAAACAGCTGGGGAGGCCATGTCCGCAGAAAGGAGCACGAGCCGTCTTTGCCAACATTTGTTTGCCACCTGCTTGCAGACCGTCATGCATCGCTGCAACTGCGTGTTTGCAGCTGCAGGGGGGAGAAGTATCGAGCGACCATTCTGAAGCAGCAGTTTCTTCGAGCCGCTGGCCTAGTTGATTGTGGATTCGTAGAGCCCAAGAGTCCAGCATGATGTGCGGATTGAGGCACGCTTTCGAAGAGTGCAGAGTCGGTTGGATCCTTGTGCAGTTTCCCGCATTTTCATCTCTTCCTAAAGCAGTTTCACTTTGGTGACTGCTTGAGGAGATCTTGTACCTACGCAAGCGTGTCGAAGAGCTTGAGAAGAAATACCTGGAAGCAAAGATGGAGGCAGCTGGCGCTTCGGCAAGACGAGCTCGTTTCTTTGCAAGTGCGCGAGCATGGAGGCAGAAAGAGCAGAGCTTCGACCCCCATGTCCTGAAGTCGACAAGCTGGGAATCACACTCAAGGCCTGCTTTGCAGACAGAAGTCTGGCGCTGTCTGTGTAATGTCTTGCTTGGTTTAAACATGTTGGAAGGATGTGTACGAACTGGAGAAGGACTTGCTGAACGAGCGCGTCTGTATGTGCGTTTCGAGTGCGTGCTGCCAAGTTTCAAGGACGTGGTAAGCAAGCAGAAGGACACGTCGTACACGTCATGAAAGACCAACAGTTGGAGTGTGTTCAGTACTTCAGGCAATGTATTGGAGCTGTCAGGAGATGGTTGTGAATCAGGAGGCCATGCACCAAGAGCTTGCAAACTTGTCGGAACAGGCCACTTGCTTCGGCGAGGGAATCCATCGAGCTTCAGACATGACACCACGCGTTATCAGCATCCGTTAATGGGGTTGAACTAGTCGGGCTGATATGTCACTACCATCGGATTTCCAGGTGTGATAGCAGCAGTTTGGCTCGAAGAGACTCTGCTTGCAATATTCTGTGGATGCCTGCACCAGGATACATCTGGTGCGCTTTCAAATGAAAGCCTGAAGGCCAGCATCTTTGCTTCTTTGTGCCTTGGTACAATCTGCACCCTTTGGCAGGAGGTAATCAGCATGCAGAAGGACCAACCTGATTGTCAGCATAAGGCTTTGCTGGCTGCAATACGATTCTGCTCAGGAAGTGGTGAGCAACCAGAAGGACTGAATGTCTTCAAGAAGTTGCCATATTCGTCGCTGGAAGGGTCCTCAAATCAGTCAGGCATAGAGCGTGCCAGGCGATGGTCCAGAATCAAGATGGCATGAAAGAGGAACTGGAGAAGTTGTCGGAGGCAGTTGAAACACACCGCCGAGAAATGAAGTGGGAAGATATGCTTGACTGGCAGAAGGACACAAGTACGTCTTTGAATCCTAGGATCCAGGCCTGCCTTCAATGTCTTTGCGCTTCCGACTTTGGAGTGCATGTGCTGCGATACGAGTCGGATTTTTTTGGGTGTGTTGCAGGAGGTGATCAGAATGGAAAAGGACCAGCATGACTAGCAGCGGCATAACACTTCGCTGGCTGCCTGTCTCCAACTCCAGTCGTTTTGATGCAATGTGATCCTGACGCAGGAAGTGGTGAGCAACCAAGAGGACAGGATGTGTGTTCAAGCCTGCGCGCTTCGGCTTTCCAATGGAGTATCTCAGCATGCCAGGCAATGGTCCAGAATCAAGAGAGCATGAAGGAGGAACTGGAGAAGCTGTCCAAGGCAGCTGCTGTGCTAGGTTAGCACAGCAAACTCCAAGCCCGAGATTTCTTCCGAGTGCCAGCGGCGATTCGAGTCACCACTCTGTAGTGCTCTTCGTGTTGAATCATATCGAATATGGATGCAGCCGTGCCATACGGAACTGCTTGCTGAATCCAACTGAGTCGTTTGAAAGTGGTTTCAGCGCGGGAGTGGACTTCGCGCATGATGTTGGAGACCTCCACCTCTGTCAGGAGACGAGAACCGCTGCCAAGGCTGAGTCGGGCGGCGAGGCACCCGCAAGAGAAGCCGAAAGCATTCGAAGGCAGCATCCTTTGCCCAGGAGAGGCACGCAACATCTGGAAATGGGGAAACTGTCGCAGAAACTACAACTACAACCCTTGCGGCACCGACCG